AATATTCATGATGCTACTTGATTTGCAAATCGCACAATAAACGCAATTCCACATATGGATTGTTTTGTAAATATTGAACACACGTTCGAAAATTGTTAATTGTTATACCAATACTTAGTAGGGTCATCTCCTCTCGTATGAAAAATCGTATTTTTATTGGTTCAGTCACCGCCTCATACGAAGCTATTTCGATAAAGTGAACCATGATTCCATCTATTTTTAAATAATGTTATTATTCTCGATTGTTAACTACTTTGACAGCCTTGATAGTATCATTATAATATTATGTTTTGCTTTTTGTTGATCTGTTGCCAGCTTAAAAAAGTTCTAAAAGAAAAGGTTTACAAGTAGACTTACACGGTTTTATTTTAAAAGAGCGTGTTTTTTTACCAGACATTCTATAAGTAGGGGAACAACAAATATGAAATAACTTTAAACATACTAAGTGTCATTCTACTTGTCATTTTCAAACAATTTTTAAAATAATCCAAATACTCAGACTACTTATCTATATTACTCCAGCAAGTAAGTTTCTAGTTTCTCTAGAAGGGAATTAGAATCGCTTCGAGCTGAAAAGTGGAAATGCCATTTAATTTGTACCTTCACTAATCCCACTGAAGCGCACAAAGTTCACTCGATTTCGATTCTTAACGACAACTCCTGAAAAATATTGTTGTGTTTATAATAATTGTAATCGGTGAATTCCAACGCAAGACTGTCATTCTAAAGCACCTTAATCTCAGAACCATAATATTGACTTGGATCTACAGCACTAATTCACGAGGCAGACGTCATTTTAAATTAGAATCGTATACTCAGTACACTCAAGCCGCCAGACTGTCATTTTCATTGTGTAGGTTTAAACTTGAACTACAGCTTTCAGTTTTATCATTTCTGGAAACAATATAGAACAGTGCTTCTCATTATAATCTCAACCTCAACCTTCAAATATACCCCCCTCCCCCTCAAATAAAACAGCCATTTTGAAACGTATTTCACTCGGAAAATATATTCATTTATTTCGATTGCATTGAGCGGATACACAATCTTACAGATAAAACCTGTGTACACTGTATAATTCCGCGTAGCGGTTTATACATAAGTGTACACAGTTTTTTTCTGTTTATACATCAATAATCTGAACAAAAAATTCAGTTTATTCCTTATAATTAAATCAACTCGAATGCATGTTTAAATATTTATCTAAAATAGTAACAAACTAAAACACAAAATAACATAACGTTAATGAACTGATACTAACAATAGAGACGTCCAATCAGCCATAAGTAGGTTACAATATTTATGCATGAAAGTTGACGGAGCGGCTACGTTGAAAGTTCAATTATTGAAAGACGAGTTCGAAGTAAAAAAAAATCGTGATATTTGTTGATATTTGGAGGGTGCACATTTGAGGAAATTTGGAAATTATCGTAATCATTCAGTGAAGTGTCGATGTCGGCTCTGTTGACGTTCGAAGGAACGGCATCGACGTCGTGTAGTGGCCACGTCAATCAAAAAGGAGTCCGTTAAGGGGCGGAACTTATATGTACATTCCGTTTACACAGATATAAACCGAATTCACGTGATTACTGTTATCCAATCAAATTGCGTGATATCGTGTAAACGGAATCGTGATTTATAATCATTTATAATTTAATTCGTTCTATTCAGTCAGGCTATGCAAATAGAGGCTATTTTTCCTTTAAGAAATGAGTGATCATGAGATAAAAATACAACCGTTCAATTCCGTTTTCATTCAAAGTAATTCTACGCCATGGGCAAAACCCCAATCTGGCGTCAGTTTTGCGGAAAGTACCAAACTTCCACTTCCCATTGCCTTGAGCGATAAAATCAAATTATTCATTAGGCTTCATTTTTTCCCGATACGAGCCATTGGGTAAAACTATACAGTGAGAGGTGTATACAATCATCTCCGGTCAAATGTTTGAGTTACAAATGATAAAAAAAGACTTTTACGTCCTATTTTACTGCCCCTGATTGAGCATCTCTATGCAGTGTGGAATGAGCAAAATTTTGCCCGAACAGCGGTGGTGTGTGTTGCATTGTCTGATAATGGATACCAGACAACAGAATAAACAGGAGGCGCCAGTCCGGAGAGTTTTTGCCTTGTATATTGTCGATTTATCGCACAGTAAAACGCACCGGACTTAATCTGTTCTCACCTATTACCTCTTATTATTTTTTTAATAATTAGTTTAATTAATTAACATTATCTGTGAGTGTTTCATAAGAACATATTTATCAGCTTAGCGTAGTACTTACAATATTCCAAATAAAGCTATTTTTTATCTTCCGAACTATCGTTGCAGAGTGGCATCAGGTGTTCAGAAATATACTGATATTATATATTGTACAGATTGGAAAATACTACGAATTAAATATTTCCCGTAGCATTTTTCAGGATAAAAATCCCACAGCTATATAACAACAATCAAAAGAACTACTGTCACAGTCCAAAGAATTCTATTATGGATGCTGTTTATTAATTGTTTGTTCATAAACCTTGTGATGCGATTATATATTTGAGCTAAAATCGTTATACAAGTCCATCCAACAATCTCGTTTGAACTTAGTCAACCCACCAGTGACTCGACATGACAAAAATATGTGCCAATGTCATATTTTTCTCCTTCCTTTAATGGAAATATCCAGACATGTCGGGTAGTATGACCTGCTTGTAGAAATGAACCCAAACAACTTTCAGACATCTTCCCACTTGGTTTCTTACATAGTCATCCAAAGGAACTTGTGACATGAGTTCCAACTCGCTTGAATTTTAAAATTGTCCCCAAGATCTGGTGTTAAAGAAATATCTAGATAAATATGTCTACCTTTTATTTTTTAACGTCAAAACTATCTAAACGGATTCAATATAAAGTTTTTAAGTTCGTTGTGCTTTTTGGTGTTAGAGAAGTACTGTACGGATTCAGAAAAATAAACGCCTAATTGTAGAGAAATATATCTCCTACGTATTCGAAGATTTCAACTAATAATATCGAGCCATTATAATGCCAACACCAACATGGCGCATCTGTCCCTTTAAAACTAATTCAGTTTGATCAAGTAGATACGTAGATGTAAGTAGCATAATTATTTTTCCAAAGAAATATTATGTATTTCATATATACGACGGTCATTAAAACTGTAAAATCAATTTTCACGTTATCACATATTTATCAGCACCTAAATTTGACATGGAATACATTACGATGAAGTTGTCTTCTCAGTGCTTGGCAATATCTAGTTGTGTGAATACCATAGTAGGAAGTTATGACTCTGGACAAGATAAGTCTACCTTAGGTATTAGTAGTAGATTTTTTCCCCAAAGTACAGATCAAGGGTGGAACAAATACTTAATTGAGAAATTAGGTGATCTGGATAGGCCGGGTAGTATTTCATTTGATCTACAATTAGATTAAATAATAGGCAAGGGGTTATTTTTTTTCTGATATGAGTATTATTATAAGACAGATTGGAAACTGTAACTATTTTTGTTTGTTTGAAAGTTGTGATCAATTTGGAAGAAAAGTTGTTGCGCAATAAACATTCAAAGGCTTTTAAAACTAAGTCTTAGATTTTCTTTTGGTTGATGAAATTGTCATCAATTGAAAAAAAGCATTACATGCAATTGAAAAAGATATATTCAGTATATGTCAAATTACAGAAAATAATGCAACTCGGAGATGTGATCGGAGAAAAGTTAAAGAATCACGTCACCAGTGGCGGGGCAACACTGTCGAAGCAGAATTGAAAATGCGGCAGTTGAGACGTCATAGTTGCAAGCAGCTCATAGTGCTGCTAAGAGGGTGGAAAAGAAAAAGGTGGGAATATAATTGTAAAATTGGGGATTTTTGTAGGAGGGGGGGGGGGGGTGCCCTCTTGTACTCGCACTGGCGGCGCCACTGTACGTCTGTGTATTTTTTATCGGAGCAGAAAAAATGCATCTTTGTTTGTATTGCGTCTAGAAATATATTTCTTATCAATTGATTTTCCGTAGACAGACAGCATAATTACAACTTAATTACAAGCTAAGTCAAAGTTGTCATTATGACATCAATATGGTGTACATATAAAAGTACGATATATATTGTCTACATGGAAGAAAGGGTAATAACCGCGATATATAAAAATTAAAGTTTTATTGTCGTCACCATGGCAGTCACGCCGTCCACAAGTGCTCGAATCTGAAAGACGCAATTTTGACAAAAAAGAAGAAACGATTTGAAATTGTTTATTTCTGATGAAGATGCCATTGCAAATGGTGTTCAGTCACAAGTCGTTCACAGTCAAATTCTATAAGTCCATTCGAATCCGATCCTAAACGATCCTAAATTCCTAAATATAATGGAAAGTAAACTAATCCCATTATTAGAACTCAAAATATGGCGATTGAATTTATATTGGCAATTATTTTCATATGTTTTGTTTGGGAAGGGGCACTGTATGGTGTTCGTATTGCTTTTATCTATGTTTTGCAGCGTTTTCTTTTGTCAATTGATTTTATGCTATTTTAATTTTGTATATCTAAATCTAACTTGTTTAGGTGCTATGAGCCCGTTTTGGTGCTGGTGCACCTTAATGCATTATATACATTTCATTTCCGGTGGAAAATTTCGTGTCTCTATGACAGATAGTGACCAGTGTGATTCAAGAAAGGAAGTCAACAAGGACTCAAAGTTCAATGGACTATTATTGATCGATGTCAAATGATACAATATAATAAAATCTATTAAGTAGATACAAATGTTCAAATAATGACTATCTGGTTAAATATTACCGGAAGTGATAGTTTTACAGAATTCTAAGCAAGGACCCCGTTGGCAAGACGGTGTAAAACTATGAGCTGAATGAAGCACGACCAATCGCTGATATTGATCGAGTTGAATATTGGAAGGAGACGAGTGGTATATTAAGTATGAACAGGTGTATTATCAGTAATATAAACACAATGACAGTAAGTTCTTGATATTATATACAGCATGTCTAATGAAGTTGATAGTAAACCAGTATCCACTATGGACGGGGAAAAGTATCTTATATTGCGTACTAATTCCACATTGGATCTTTATGATTCTGTACTTACTGATATTGAGAGGCAATTTATAGCAGGCTATTTAATATGTATAGGTAAGTTTTTTATATTCATTATTTTTTTATTAATAACAGTCCATAATTGTATTCAATTTTTTTTTATTTATTACATTTATTAGTTTTCATTCATTACATTCATTAAATTTCATTATTACATTTAATATCTTAAATTTGAAAAGTATCAAACATGATAGTATGGAAAGTTTAGAAAGTTAAGATAAGATGACGCATTCGATGATTTGACTGTGAATAGGCATTTGTGAAATACCGTAAAGGAATCTGTTTAATAAATATTAAATTTTTTCTAACGCACCAACTGATTGTCTTGTGGTTCCTGAAAGTCTATGAATACTTAACATCACTTAAATGAAATGATTACTGTATTGCACTAAACTATGGTCTTTATTGACATTTTGATCAATGTGAGTTCTTCTCGGCTATGATTAACTACAATCTCTGTGCAATTTATGGTTATATTTCATGAAATTATGGTGGCAATAAAATCATGCATGAGTGCAATTATGCGATATACATAATATGATAGAGTTCCGTAAACAGTTGGTAAGATTTCAATCTGAAATTGCCTTCAAACCACATGGAAGAAATGTAAAGCAAACAAGCAAGGTACAGTGCTTGACACTCTGCAGGTATTTTGGCGTTAGAAAAGTCAATGTACATTTTCGGGATTTGTCCCAAGGTGATGAATGTATGTAAATAGTCTTCACAAGTAATATAACTCGCATTATCTCAAACTAGAAATTTCTCTTTCCATTTCTTTATACATGTATGTCTTTTCTGTATCAGGCGAAGTTTCAACAAAGACGAGTCGTCATTTTAACATTCAAACACGGATAATTCTTAAAACACATGGATTTGAAGACCCAAATTATATAGCTGTGAACGCTATTACCGTTACTGAGGTACGATTGGCCAAACTGTCGCTTTTATTAGGATATAGTCATCTTTATAATGTGATTGTCACAATATTATTTAAGGATATTTGTCTATAATGCCCATAACAGCGCAATTTGGAATGACAGATCAGAAAAATGACTTCTCCAACCCAAGGTTAATACGATGTGCAAACTCACCAATCGAGCAAGTTTTTTTCTGTTGTTTTATATTCTTGGATTATTTTGTTATTATTACTGTGTCATAACATTTCCTTCTGTTATTTTGTTCTTTTAGAAAACAAGGAAGAACGGGTGGGATCATTTTGTGATGTTTATAACGGCGTCGCCCACATGGAATTCGCCATTGTTGTCGTATAGTACATTAGACATTGGTAAAGACGTTATCAATACCACAATTTATTTCCCTATAAATGTGACAGTAAAATGCAATAGAATCATTAGTTAAATATCATCTTTTCAGTGATTTTCCTACTATCCTACTTGTACTATAAAACTTACAGTGTAATTGATCTGTTTGTCTTCTTTTATGGATCGCCGGCACATTTAGATTACATTTAGACTTCCATTAGCCCCATGTGGGAGAAAAATAGGACTTACACCTCCATTCATTTCATTTCATTTTCAATTTACTTGGCTTGGATTTGAATTTCGTGAACAACCATGAAACTAATTTGCGATTGACATTATCTGAGAGTAACTGGTTTGTTTACATCTGATGGCATCTGATAGAAATTGATAAACCGCAATATTAAATCCACATGACAGAACCGACGAACGAATGGAAATTCCCAGATCTCTTGCTCTAAGCTTCCTTTCATACAAAACAAAAGACATAGCTTTAATCTCAGGGGTTGAAATTCGCGACAATCAAAACGTTAGTTCTCTGTTAGTTTGTGGCATGCAGTGGCGTGGATGAATTTGCCTTCTTGTTCTTTCTTTTATGCTGTCTGCCTTTGTATCATAGTAAGGTATCATATTTTGTAACTAATGGAAAGGAGGAGATGGGTGACGATGAGTTGACAAATCGGCATGAAACCTCAAGATAATAACTTCTATTTATCAAATACTATTGATGAGACATTAGATCTGAACTTTCAGATACTACTTATCAATATCACGAAAATAATAACCTTAGGGTTATAACCTTGATTAAGTAAGTCTTAATTAAACAAGTAAGTCTTAATTAAACTGGCTGACAATCTACTCAGAAATACTAACAATGGACCAAGAAGTACCATAAAAAGATAACAAATGACCATATCCGTAAACAATAAGTAGTATTTAGGAAAAAACCAAAATTGATCAGTAAAGATTTTCTCGGTTCTTGTTTTCATTTCCTGATGAAAATAGCAAGGTATATTACCATATAATTACTGTGTCATAACATTTCCTTCTGTTATTTTGTTCTTCTAGAAAACAAGGAAGAACGGATGGGATCATATTGTGATGTTTATAACTGCATCGCAAACATTGAATTCGCCATTGTTGACATTATGATTTTTATTTAAGTAGTTTGGCTGTATTGAAAGAAAGGAGCAAACCCCTTTTACAGTAAGGAAAAACTTAGCAGTCCTTAATACCAGCTGATAATTGACTTTGGATTGATTCTGTTGGTAATTATTGGCAGTTTGGTCGAGCGCGTGTACGTATCCAGCGTACCTAATCGATTGTTGATCTATATGTCCGGTTAATCGATTCATGCTGAAATAATGTGCTATTAACCAAGTCTCAAGAGAACTATTACTGATGCTGAGTTGAGGACGTTGACAATTTGATGAAATGTCACCAATTCTCATGGAAATAGACGTGGAAATTAAATTATAACACATACATAAGACTGTTATTACAGACACTTAAATAATCATTCAAACTATTCAGTCTACATGAACTATGAATTAATACTGTTTCCGGCATTTCTCAACATCAGCTGCGATCAGTGTAACTTTTGTTGACAAATACACAAGTCATAATAAACATGGTCAAGAAGGACAGAATCAAAACATGTCGTTACCCTGCAAATAAAGTTCCATGGACTGCTAAACAATGTCAGTTACGAAAATAACATCTTTTAAATTTAAACGGCAGCTTAAGAACCCCAAAATATTGGTTTTAGACCTAGGTTTAGTTCGACTTGTTTAAAATGTTTATTTGCTCCCATTTCATCTGCTTTTCTCGGCGACTTTTACGTTCATCACAGTAAAATATCTTTTATTGTCAAACTACTAGACCATAATATTTTTTTTCTATCTATTATCAAAAATGAGACGTTATCTTTAAGCAATCAAAGAAAAGAATAAATGAAGGGAAATAATTGTAATTTAATTGATACCAACCTGTTTGACGATTAACTTTTTTAAAAAATGGAAATGATAATATTTAATTATTATGTTAAATATTTCACGGTCATCCACAGTATATATCTGAGTCGCATTTTGCAGATCATTTCCATTTGTTTCGGACCAATCGTCGATAGTTTCAGAAACGGGAATTTTTTTAATCAGTAAGCCAATCAGTAACAGTGTTCGTACTGACAATGAGATGTTATATGCACTGACAAATGACATATATAGAGATAGTGAGTAAAATTCCTAGTTTGAGATATTTTTGAAGGAATTGTGCGATTTTCGTACATTTCTAGTACTTCTAAAGACTATTTACATATATTCAACACCCAAATCAACGCTGGAAATGTACATTAAAATGTACAGATTTTAACACTTTTCTATTATTGCTTGCTTGTTTCACCTGATACTTCTTGGAAAGACAATTTTATGTGGAAATCTTACGAATTGTTCATGGAACTCTAGCAATTGTATACCGCAAAACTGCACTCATGATGTTTTTTTTCCTTTCGTCGGTGCTGTTAAACCTTTATCAATTTGTCCAAAGTAAGAATCCACATAGAAAAAGTTTATTTTATTGCCATCATAATTTCAAGAAATAGAACCATAAATTGCAGAGAGATTGGCGCACTATCCCTTTAATAAATATCAACATTATACTTAGAATAATGACATTGAGTAAGTGACCAATGATTTATGTTTCGGGAGTCCATTAATCAATTACCATAACCGGAAGAAGGCATAGAAATATTGTCCAGTCTGACGTTATAAACATCATGTTCAGGAAATGACAAATAAGTAAAATATTCACGAATATTTTGCACTTCCGGTGCTTTTTAACCTAAGAAAGTTCCCGTATACATTTTGTTTTGGATTTAATGATTTTTGGTACGTTTAAGATCATATGTATTGATTTAATCATTTTAAATATTAGTTAAATATTACGCTTAGAAAATGTACTTGATCAACTTTTAATATGATAAAACCAAACTAGCTGTTTACTAAAATTACTTGATATAGATTATATTGGATGAAGAATCGTTAATTATATTTTATTTTAAGAAAATTAAATTCAACTTTTGATCGAAAATTCGCGGAAATCATATACAAGTTTAATGTAGATTTATCTAGAGTAACATTAACGGCCATTGTGTTCCTTCCCAAATGTAAAATCAATGAACGGTTGCTCACAGGTATCCTTCCGTTCGGAAACAACTCTCTGCTATATTTGTTGATCAGTGGTGTTTATTTAATCTCATAATTTCCGTAATTCAATCTGTTGATTATTAAAGGGACACTTTAAACTAGGAATTTTATTCTCTTTCTGTATATGTCTTTTATATATTTCACAGAGTATCTTAAAATGACGAGTCGTCCTTTTAACTTTTAAACGTGGATAAATTTGGACACACATCGTTTGAAAGCTCAAATTTCGATGGTGAGCCGTGAACTCTATTACTGATAAGCTGAGCAGCTCTGTCCTGCTCAATTGATCATCTAAATATGGGCTGTTGTCCAGAAGAATACTTCCGCCAGGAAAGACAACAATCTGCCATATTTGATGATAAAAGCTGTAGTGGTCATCACTCACTTCTGATTATTAGTCTATATTGGGTTATTTAGTTAATCTTGTGTCTTCATGGGCGAGTCTCGTTATTTGCGGCATTTTACGATGATTTGTCATGTGCTTCTCACATGAATATAATCCCTAGCTTTATAGCTTTTGAGGCGCTTCTGACGCTTGGAAATTGCTATATTATATTATCAATATCGGAGCATTTTGGAACCATATTTATCGAAGGTTTTGGTTTTATTGACTTTGTTTAACAACCCCTTTAGTCCTGAACGACCAGCATCTGATGTTCGAATTACCAGAATTATGTGATCCTATAGTCATCTGGACATAGTTCAGGTAAATAATGGTAACCATTCATTACCGTGATATGTTGCAAAGCGCTAGCAGAACAAGGAGCTTAAAGGGAATTATCTGCATTTGAGAGTCGTATTTTCTTGATACACTGACATATATAGAAAAGACATTTACAGAATGAGGAAATTCATAATTCGAGATATTTTTAAAGGAATTATTTGATTTACGTATATTTCTAGTACTTCTAAAGACTATTTACATATATTCAAGAATGAAATCAACCCCCTAATGGCACACTGTCCCTTTAATACCCTTTTGAAATATATATCAATATTTGTATAAAACATAATTATATAATAATTGTTAATTCAATTGAAGGAGATCTTGAGACCAAGTAATTGTTTTTTATAGACAGACATACCGAATCCATTAAATTAAAGTTCGAAATGTCACCTACGGCGGGGTACAGTGACCTATGTTACAAGGAGGTTTCTTCCTTGTACAGGTCATGAAGGACTGCCAATGATAAGTGTCTATTCGTATGGTCAACCTATAATTGCCCGAAAGACCTCATATGTTTTAAATAAATAGATTAACGGGAATATTAATAGTCAGAATTAGTGAATTAGCTCCTCGTTTCCCCATTTGTCAATGTTAACTAGCCTCATCTAGTGCGAGAACAAGACTTTGAACGTAATTTAATGTGAATTTGTAATTCGATCCAAAACCATATTTGTAGAATTAATAACGAATACCTAATTATTTTTCATTTTCAGACAAAACAACCTTAACACAATTCTTTTCAAATAATAAATTCAGTCAGTGGCAAATTTCGTAATTTCAAATTTTAACGATCTTAAACATTATGTTTCTAAAGTCTTTTTTTGTGTCAACGCAAGAATCCAAACATGTATATATGTTTATATTGTCTCTATGTCTTTATCATCCGGTTGAGGATGATTGCGAACTAGAATGGCGATCTCACGTTTCGAATGCAACTGAGTTGTGCGTTGCGTGACTCATGACCACTTTCATTATTCACAAATACGCAACTGATAATCGCCATTGTGTGAGGCACCCCAAGCATACTATATTTCAAACACATCAGATGACTACTTCATTTGTTATACAAGTTACCACAAATCCAATAGACAAGAGTCAATATTTCAGTGACCCATGAACAAATAATCGGATTATTTCATCATCCGAATTTGATTTATCAATAAAATCTTCCCGAATAATTACTATCTGTAAAGGATTAAACATTGAAGCATAGTCGGTCTGAAAATCGAATGAGATATAGTAGATACAGTTTTGATGTTGTGTTTATCAGAATGATATCTATTTACAGTGTCTGACAGAGTTAATTTTAGTTAGTGCTCGGCACAATGGCAATTTTGTAACGTCATACGTAACGACATAAGTCAATGTATCTGATGCGCTGTACAATAAAATTGATAAAACCATCATCATATATATATTAAAATGGACATGTAAAATGTATAAAATATAAATAAATAAAATCAAAGTAAAAAAGGAAAAAAAAACTATAATCTAAATTAAAATCTTTCTTAAACAAAAACGTCTTAAGAAGAGATTTGAAAATTGCTAAAGAAGAACAGCATCTTAAATCAAAAGGTAGAATAATCCAAACTTTAGGTGTCTGGGCGGTAAAAGAACCATCATCAAAAGTTAAAAGTCTGGATGATTTGTTAACGAGTAAATAAGTGTCCGAAGAAGATTTGGTGTGTATATTTCTAATAGTGCAGATAATTAAGTTGGTGCAATATCATTAAGACACTTAAATGTTAAATGTAGGATCTTAAATACATACTGACTTTCATCTGACATCACGTTTACGTTCAAATTTTTTTCAAACGACCCCCATACTGATGAAATATGTCACGATTCTCCATAAACATAATATTCCCCATTGACAGTGGCAGCATCACAATATGTTATTAAAATGTGCTTGAAATTATAATGATTCTTATTAGAATTGAATATTTCATTTCATGCTGTCAGAAACAGAATTTCAACGTGATTTTACCATATAAAAAGTTCAAATCAAACTCTTATTAAAAAGAGCATCATGAACAAAAATGGAATTTTTTATTTCTATATTATGTCTTTTTATATAAGACAGAGTCTCGAGTCGTCATTTTAATTTTCAAACGCAGAAAGCGGAAAATTCTCCAACGTCATGGTCGATTTGAAGGTTTAAATTTTGACGGTGAGCTGTTTCTGAGACTAAGGTACGATTGCTCAAACGGATGGTGAACCTGTCTATTTAATAATAATTACTGGATAGATTTCTTTTAATAAATGGTAGCAATACGGCAAACTAATCTTTTCCGGAAAGACTTATTGAAGACTTGATGGACCCCTAAGGTAAGAATGACAAACTAACGTGACAAAATAAAATTATTAGACTAATCATAATAATATTTCAGGAAGTCTGAAATTGTCAAGATTCCACCCTCAAAATACTTTTATGTGTACGGCAAGCAAAGCTTACAACGACCAAAGTGCCCTTTACTATGAAATGCAGGACAATCTTTGATATGCTGTAAAGTTCCATATTGAAAGAATATTTTTTAAACAATCACATGTATTCATCTTGCATTTGTTTGAAATTAATGTGGCCTAACTTAGAGTAAATCTAAACCTATTCAAATTAATTCTATTCTAAGATTTCACCGGGGACTTTAGGAAAGATAATTAATTAACTTCCTAAACAGCTTGATTTCTGTTGGTGTTTTAAATTGTGGGGAAGGAAGGATGATTCTCCCAAGTGTACAGTCTTAAACCGGATGTCAACTTCACGAGAAACTCGCAACAGAACTGACTGTGCCCCTTCCATTTGAGAAAAAAATTGATCGTGGGTTACTCTCAGAGAATTCTTGCGAAACTCTAAAGTGTCCATAAATTGTATTCGCGAGCAGCTCGTGGGATTAGGAGTTGCACGACATCTTACCAGTTTGCTTGTCAACTTCCGATTCAAAAATGACTCCCTTCCAATTGAGAGAAAATCGCTCCTGACGGTTCTATCGAGAGTTGGTTGCGACTTAACAAAAGTTTCTCGCAGAATACCTTCCACATGCAAGTGACTCTCGGAGAGCCAACTCGCGCTACAAAACTCTCAAGCGGCGTTAGGATGAAAAAATATACCTTTAAATGGTCAAAAGACTGCCACACGCGAATTTAAGCACCAAATAATTATACTATTGGTCAACTGTAAGTCATTTTGTTATTGATAATAACATTCATTTAACGTTCAATGAATAATTACCTTGTTTTATGGATTTATTGGGTTATACAGGGATTCTATTGAATAGTTATGACACCAGGTAAATCCACAGCTGAAAAATGCTCATTTTGGTCAAATTTAATTTCTTTAGTCTTCCTTTGGAGTAGTATATGTTTGGGTTTAAAAGCACTCGACTAGGAAATCGAAAATAAGTCACATTCTAAACTGAATTATATTTTCTTCACCGCATTTCAAAGGTGTACAGAGAAGACAACTTCTTACATAAAGAGTTCCAAAAAGGGAGATAATTCATGTCAAGAGTTAACATTTCACAACAGTATATCTTATTCATACTTTTGGCGCCCATGTCCACTAACATTTCCAGTAAGCAAGCCCAATGTTGTCAGTCGTAAAGAACTTACACAAGACTATGATTGTGATAAGACATTCTTACTGAATCTCTAACTATGTAATTTTCCAGCTATCCCTTTTAGTTTGATCATCTGGTATGCTATAATTTGAATGAAATGTATATGTTCGAAAGCTGAAATAACGGTTTAAGGCCTGACCAAATGCAAAAATATATAAATGGCTGAATTTTTATTATCAACTTAATCTCATTATTTATCTATTCTAGATGTTAAAAGAGTTCTTCGCAAGACGAATCAACTTGACACAAGATCACAATAGCAATTTGTATGAAATTTGTTGTACAATCTGATCTCTAATGGAGCTGTGTTATTCTTGTTCATATTTCTTAAATGGATAGGTTTGCCATCCGTTTGACTAATCGTATCTAAGTCTCAGAATTGGCTATGCTAATCAGTCGAAATTTGATCATTCAAATCATGTGTGTCCACAATTTTTGCGTTTTTCGAAAGTTAAAAACGACTCGTCTTTTCTGAGACTGCCTTATAGAAAGTAAAATTCCTAGTTTGAGGGAGGTATTATTGGAGGAAATATTCTTACATCTCTAGTACTTCTGAAGACTATTTATATATATTATTCAAGATCCAAATAAATCCCCGAAAATGGCGAATCTGTCCCTTTAATATCGGACTTTAAGGTAACACTCACCAAAGCCTGTTTACATTTTATCTGCAGGTTCGGACATAATATATAATAACCACGAAGTTCCTGAATGGCCTGAATAATGAATAATGAAATAAGTTTTATCGCCTTGCTCCATCAAATTTTTGGAAATGACGAAGTTCTGTTTTATCAACTAATTTGGTATATTAATGCATTGATGTCCTGGATTTTCATGATTTCCAGGATATTTTGAGGTGACAGTTCAGCATTTTCTAGGTACAAACCACTCAAGTTCTCATCTAGGCTGTTTCTTTGTACATGTTCTTTGTTTGTATTATTTTACACTTTATTTTAAGTAGCAAAACAGTTCTTGATTGTATGGGTGCCGATATAGAGTAGGACTGAAGGAAGGGCTGGCGTGAAAAAAGCTTCTTGTCATTCGACTAGAACACGTACAGGCTGAGACTGCACGTTAAAGATCCCTCGACAGTTGGAAAAGTATTGGTTTGATATATTAGTGTATTGTATATAGGCAAGGAAATCTATTCCAGATAAATATATTCCACATCATTAACTAAATGTCACTTTGTACAGAAACAACTTAATGGAAAATTGATTATTGATCAATCTTATTTGATGGCCTCGTTACCTTTATAATAGTGTTTTTTTTCTGAATGTGGCAGAGCCAGTGACAGAATAACACCAACCTTTCGTTCATTTAACAAAACGTTTTGCTGCATCAATTGTTAATGAAAACATGTTCAATGTGCCAGCGAAAGGTCTCACAGCTATGGTTACAAATGATGATGCGATAACTCAAATTATTCAATGCTTATCGTGCGACTATATATGTGAAGTAAGTAGAAATGTCCTATCAGCAATTGAAGCCAATGAAAAAGACAATGAACGTATAACGAGTGATTGCTTTACTTCTAATAAGAAGTGTAGATTATGTTTAACAAAAGATAACCTTCATATTACTTTCCAAAACGAAAACAGACCCCTAGTTTACATACAATTAAAGAAAATGAATATCAGAGAAAGTGACGAATTTGTCAGCAACTATGTTAATAACGACCTATCACTTCCACTAGCAATTTTAATTTTGATTGCAGGCGAACGAGATTTGCATTCTGGAACGTATTGTTGGGAATTAACATGAACTGAATGTAATGAAATTTGAAAACGCTAAATTATTCTCATGAGACAGGATTAAGCAAACAAACCTCAGGCAAACTTAATCTTACAAAAACAGGCATACTTTTAAATTTTTACAAGTAAATAAACTATTTGATGCGAAAAGAATCTTAAAACTAGAATTGCCTCGCGGTCTATCATTAGAAAAACGTCATTTCTATGGCATATGTCACAGATAGACATGACAAATTTAACATACACGTAAAAATATAAATTGTGAGTAAAAAACAAGTAATCGATATCTTTCAAATCGAATAGAACCAATTGGTACTTTCTATGTAATTTCATGGAATTTGCGTCTTTATTATGTGGTTCAGTGAGTTTAGTTCTCTTATTTACAATGCTTAGAACATGTTCTCAGAGCCCCCATAGAAAGATTGTAGACATTATGAATTCCAAACAAATCGCCTCATTTACAAACTTCCGTGATACAAGAAAGGTGACTATTGCAGCAAAGGTCGCAATATCTTGACATTTTGAAGATGCCTATTTACGGGTCCGGAACTTATTCACCTAGATGAGGCTGAAAACAAACGTTTAATGACACGTAAAGATAATATTTTACAATCAGGAATTATTTTCTCATTAGATCCAATCTATTGGAAGAAAAGTAATTTTCCAAATGTATATTTGAATTTTCTGTCTCTTATAACAAATTAGATGGCTATATAGTTTTATCAGTCTCTAATGTCAAATTAATACATTTAGAATATACATGTTATTATATATGGAAAACTTTTTTTTCTATTGAATTATCATTTCTTCTTTTTTGTCTATTGGACAATTTCAAAATTGTCTTTTAATTGAAAACAGTCCTTACGATTTAATCTTATTTAAGGAATAATAAGTTTTAAGAATTTGTGATCTCTAATGAATATATACAAACATTCCTTCATTGCAGGTTTTTGTTGTTGTTTCTCTCTTAGTTTGCCTTGAAACAATATCAACGTCACTTGCCAGTGCCGTCAACGCATGGAAGCCGCCATTTTCTTTCATGACGTTATGTCACGTTTGTTGACATATAACCAGAAAACAATCGCTAATCTTTGCAACAATGATACTCTTTTAAACAGAACGTAGTCTCCTTTTCCAAAAATAAACGACCATTTCGGCTAAAAACTTGCATATTTCTTAAAAATGGCATATTTCAACCAAATAGCATTATTACCAGCTATTCAAAAATCGAACGTTTTTCTATGATGTTTCATAAGGGCGTTGACTGGTCTATTTCATGTTATGAAAGTATGGAATAATTATATGAAAAACGGATTTCTTGAGAACGGTTGTGCATTTTATGAAGATTTCTTCCTTTCAGTTCAAAGCTGATTTTATGTCCTTCAGATTTTTTTTAATGTTTTGAAAGCCCTTCAAACATGTCATGAAAATTGGATATTTCAAACCTCGACATAAGATAGTTGAATGAATCAATCTCCGTCAAACTTGACATCTCAGAAGACAATTATAATGCAAAAAATCTAATGTTTTGATTTTTTCATTTTTGTTTATTCGTTTTGGTGGTAACCATGGAAAAGTGAAACATAAAAATTTTTTTTTTAAATTTATTTAAAAAAATTCTTCCAAAAACCGTCAAAACCTGTGCCATCTAATGAGCCCAATAATGAACACGTTTCAAACAGCAATTCCGAACAATGTAATACAATTCTGTTTGACCTGATTTTGTTATTTCCTTTGGGGTGGTAAATTGAGTATATTTCATTATGCAATAATAAGGTAATTATTTTCTTTACAGGAATATTGGGATTAATAGGAAACCTTATAGTATGGGTTGTGTTTTGTCGGTTTAAATCGTTACGGATAAAAAGCAGTATCTTGATTCTCAATTTGTCGTTAGCAGACCTTGGAATGTGTGCTTTTGGTTTTCCATTTGTGACTATAGCAGCACTTGAGGGAAGGTAAGCTTAACATTTCGTATTTATTAAGTTCTAGCGTTTCATGCCTCAAAACCAACTTGTTGTGTCTGTAGCTTTGTGACAGAAAACATTGAATCTACTTTCGCAGCTTTTTACCATTTACATGTAGCTTGGTGCCAAAGAATATCGAATCTACTTAATCGGCTGTTTGCCAATGAATATTGAATCTACTTACGAAGCTTGGTGCCAATTAACATTGAATCTATTTACGTAGCTTTGAACCAAAGTATATTGAATCTATATGTACTTATGTAGCTGTGTGTCAAAGAGCATCACATCTTCTTACGTAACTGTGTGCCAAATATATTTGCACCTTCCATGTAGCTTGTGTTAAAAAAAATTACACCTTACAGCTTTGTGCCAAGAAAATTCATCGTCCTACATAACTTTGTAACATAACATGACATTGCATCTTCTTACGTATCTTTGAAAATTGAGTTCGTTACATAACGGTGTACCAAAGAACATAGTATCTACTTACGTAGCTTGCTACCAAAGAAAATGGCACCTTCTTACTATCTTATGTTTTTATGTGCCAAAGAACATTGCATCTACTTACGTCGATATTACTTTCTCTATCAGGATCACAGAAATGAAGGTAATAATATAGACTACCACACAAAGGAATACGTGTCTACTTATCTATGTATGTCTATGTATATGACTTGACTGTACTGGAGATAAGGCGTCATTGTCACGGGCTCGAGTTTTATCAAAACATTCAGTTCTCCCCAAGAGTTCATACAGACAGAAATTTTGACATTATGTAAAACAGTCACATATTATAACTAGTCTGAAGAATACATCAATTTCATTTACAATGTCTTATGTTAAAACGATTTTCTTCCATATGAATTTTTATCCCATTATCTTAAGGTACACATTACAGTTTCCTTTTGCCACGAATAATAATAACAAATATAATTGAGCACAATTACATCTTTAGGCATTGTCGGTAAAAAGGCTTGAATCTGAATGCAGCACTTGGCATTTGACTGCAGTGACATCGTAAAATAGAGTTGCGTCTGTTAGAAAGAAAAAGTTACTTGGCTAATTTAAGTTTGTAATTTTGCAAAAAAAAAAAACCAAGAAAACATATTATTAAAATATGGTGGCTTTATCGCAAATTACATTTCATTCATTAACGTGATAATTCGGCATATAACAATTTCCAAAAATGGAAAGGAACCATAGAATACGACTACGACTGAAGATCGTACTGAAACGACATATACTCTTTAGTTCTCTTTAGTAAAGCCTTCACAGCAAATCTTTTTCTTACTACATTCTTAATGACAAATATGCAATGACTATCATTACCATAATTATCTCACTGTAGGCATAATTGTATCATTAGCGGTGATTTTTACTTATCTAAGGAAATCATATAAATTCCCGTTCCTTATGGCTTCGATTAAAGGAAATCTTCTATCCAGAAAAAAACGCAATATTGCAATTAATATACCACAATTAAAGGTATTGGTCATGTACAATAACATCATTATAAAGGTATGCCCAGTTGGTGGCATATCGTTCTCCGAAAGTAGACGCATGTCGCGCCATGTTGGCGTCTTTAGTCTCAGGAAATTTTAAAATGGATTGTAATTCAAGAAAGATTTTCGACACGGACTTTAAGGTAACAGATTGAGGAATGAGATCAGAGAAAATCCTGTCCACCAACAGAGTCATCGGTCTATTGGATTACTAACAAAAGCCATTCTATATAGGCTGTTTCAGATTCTATAAAAAGGGAGTAGTTGTTCTCTTGGCAGCATTAATCAACCGCTTCACCTTCTTTATTTTAGAATTGTTCAGAATTAGTTCATTGGCAAGAGGATCTCAATTAGAGTTTCTCGCATTACAATTCTTCATTTATTTGTTTCTTCGAAATTGATTGATCCATAATGATGAATAGTTCAGCCTCATTTAGAGCTCAACTTGAGAGTGTCACGTAAAGTAGGAGACTCCAATAAATAAGCCAAGTCAAGTAGACAAACTTAAACAAATATCAATTTGTGTCAAAAAGTATTTCACGACTTACGCCGACTCATTTCTAAAACAATATATTTATAACATTATTAATGCCACATCTTTAAACAATCATTCCGAACTGGAAATATGGACATGAGAATAAGTTCTACTTGTCTAACCTCAGTAGGAATGTAGACTGAAAATAAGTCATTTGGCTGATGATCGCATCGCGTGAAACTCCTGAGCAGCAACATGATTCAGGTTCTGTTTTAATATTTCTATATCGCTCATCAATTGATGTATTGTATCACTATGTTAACAATGAAAATATTTTATTATTGTATTTATGACATTTATGGATTCCATTTTCTAGGCATTGGAAATTGTGTATCTTCTACTTGCACCATTCTGACTTTAAGGCACTAGCCACGTCGGAATGATGAAAATAGAAGCTATCAGTAATTCAATGAGCATACAACGGATAGAAATCATCGAAACTATGAAATAAATTGCATCCACCGACTTGACAAATTAAACAGATAAACTTGCTTGTACTGGATTCAATTCTTTCATAGAAGTGAAATCACTCTATTTCCGTTTATGGTTGTCAGAGATAATGTCATGGTAACGACGTGATTTTTATGATCAAACTGTTTCTGTGGTGTTTCAATGATAATCGTAGTTTAAAAGGTAAATCGAAACATCTGCCTCAATTCCAATCTTTGTTGGCTGTGTAGATTTCAGCCGATAACTGTCAAAATATTTATCAGAGGATGGAAGCTGGAATAGAGGCAGTTGTTTCGGACTATTTAAAAGGAAATCATACAACTGCGAGGTCAAATTCAAATCTAAGGCTGGTAATTTGCTTAGAAAAAGATTTGACCTATTATGCAAATAATAACTCGATCAAAGAAACCTAAAATTATCGTTGGCGAAGCTGTATAATCATAGGAAATTGAAACGAATTCTGTTCTCAAAAAGACATTTACAATGATGTCATTAAACGCCTTTGAGGGTAATATGACAAAACGATTCAATTACCATGAAACAACTTGATTTAGACGGGCTTAATTCGTATTGCACTCTGTAGCGGGGGTCCTGTAAAGGAGCTCTCACACCATGACGATTATCATTTCAAAACGCAACTCACAACTCAGTTGCATGAGAGGTGCGTTCGAATTTATTCTTATTCACAAACATACGCAACTGGTGTGAGGGTCTCTGAACATTCAACGCCTGATCAATGGCAAGATATTTAATGGTCTTATCGGACTAATCCAAGTGACCATCCCCAATCTTTGTGTCCACCAGATATACAAACTTTTTTTTTTCTTTTTTACTCTCTATCTTGATCTGAAGGAGTTATTATTTAAATAGAGGTTCAATCGTCAGATGATTGAATATATCCATACCAATCAAATGTACTGTATTATACTGTATATAAGTTGACTGATATAATATTTAGTCGACAATGCTTGTAGTGAAAAGAGCCCTTGATTGGTCGAATGCTTTGATGATAGTTTGCCAGGCAAGGTAACACACGTTCGCTGGCATCTGTCAAAACCTTAAGGAGTAAATAGCGTGAGTTGCGATTTGTACTTTTGACCACTTTCATTATTCGCAACAATACGCCACTGCTAATCGCAATGGTGTGAGGGAACCTTCAAATAAAATACAATATATCATATTTAAGAACTTTATTGTAAATTTTACTTCAAAAACATTTTTTCTACAAAATTTTTTAAAATCAATAGCCGCACGGATATACATTCACATTTCCATGTTGGCGTATAAAAATTACCACCATACAATTTATTTCCTGGGATCACGGATTGCATGTGGAGTCTACCACATTAAATATCTAGGTCTGAAGTTACCCAGGTTGTTCTATATTAAAACAATAATGTAGTGTAGGGCGTATCTTAGACTAATTCTGATCATTCGATCGAAGACTATGTCTATAGGGAGTAAACTTGAGACAGATTTATTCCTGTACTATAGTAGTATATCCGATTTTAGATACAGCGGAACATATAAAGTCTCGACAAGATATTTCTATACATCTGATAATTTAAATGCTAGTCGACAATATCCAGTTACAAATTAATCCAGTCTAATACTATTGAGTACTCAAATTTTGTTTACGTAACTTTTCTACTATACCAAGTTATTTCAGACTAAGCAAGGTACACGCAATGTCTAATTTCATACGGAGACGAGACTTCCAAACTAATAAAAATGATAACGGATAAGTAATCTTGATATCCCCTTTAACTGGACACAACAAAGCCGTCATCTTCACTCTGTCTGGCTATTAATTACTTCATCTTATACCTTGACTGCAGTAGCCGCCATTTCTTATTGTAAATACAGCGTTTGGAGTCCTTGGCAGAAAGTCTGTGAACACAAAGTCATGATGTTTACTCTCTGTCTGTTGTGGCCTCTGATTGGCTGTATTCGCTGGCGTACAATCCAAACAAATGGCTGCATTCATGAAAATTTTCAAATAAAAATCATATAATCGTAGGATAATATTTGAAACTAGAACTGTTTGCAAATGAATTGCCGAAAGCTTTTTTTAAAAACTCATTCTTTGGCGCCATGGTCATCATTATTTCAAGAAATATGATAAAAAGTAATTCTCTTCAGACAAAAAGGCAAATTAAATCAATAAAGTTTTTTTAAAGTTTGATCTTGATCTAGTTCAGGTTGTCAATTACATTCATCTTTTATTAACTAAATCTTCGGAAAGAAACTATACATAAACATGTTATTGCATTATTCTTGTATTTTGTGATCTATTGTCCATTATTGAGTTTCAAAGAGAGGAACAACGGTGAATAAGTTGATTCTTACTGAACATATGTCAATCCGGTACTCTTTCTATAAGTTTTTTTTTGAAAAATTAAGTAGATTTTCTAGTCCAGCAGTACTATGATAAATAGACTGGATATTGATTTTTCAACTTTAATGTCCATATTCTATAACATTCTATATTTATTCAATATCTATACCTACTTTCTGAACCAAGACATATTTTTCTATTCTGCATTTTATCAGTGCTCACTTATTGACCAGAATACAATTATTGAAAAAATCGTAGACTCAGTCTAAGTTATAGACCCATTTCACCAAACTGTGACCATCTGGAATTGTACTAGGCCGTTGTCAGTAATCGTGGGGAAAACTAGAAAAAAAATCTCAAATTGCAAACTTAAAAACAGACGACCTTATACCTCGAGATATGCGACCATATTGCGTACTTACGTGTTTGCTGCGTTTTTGTCACGTTTGTACTGCGCTTTTCGACCACACAAGGAGATGTTACAGCGCTCGACTGTTGACATTCTCGATCACTCGATATTACCTGAGTTTTTATCCTAAAAGTGGGAATCATGGGGAGAAAAGTGCATTTCACTATTTATTTTAACATTGATTAGGATAATGAAGACGGGCAACTATGCATTAGGAAAATTATGCTGCGACAGCAGCATTAGCTGCCGAAAGTCTTTCACGTACAAGACCTGTTGTAGCATACGGGGCTTCGAGTTATTGTCCCATCCAAACGCTAATATTCTTTTTCCATGTTCGACCTACATCACTGACAAGGTACGAAGGCATGTCGAATTATTACGGGATTGAAACCTTGAATAAATAGCGAGCTAACATTAACTCGCAGAGCCATTTTTATTTTAATGCCAAAATCTAAAATATATTTGATTGAGATTTCCCACAAATATCATAATATATCTCATTAATTACAGATGGAACATTTGAAGCTGCCTTAAATAGCAGAAAATATTACCTTAATGCGCTATTACAGATTCAAGCTTATAAGATCAATATGAATTTGTGAAAGTCAACCTGTCTTAGCACATTTTTGTCATGCTAGTTCAACTATATATATGTCACGTCTTAGTTAACTATATACCCACTAGGATAAGAAAAGCGACACTTTTTAATACTTATTTAAACGAAATTTCTATTGTAATTTGAAATGAAATAACTAATATTCTTAGACAATAAGACAATCTTCTGTCAACTAACATGGATATATCAGCACATTTACACAAGAAATAACAGTTTTGTTCACCTTGATGTCTACAAGAATAATTATTAAGGTTGCTTATTAAAACATTATTATATGCCAATATAGTGTCATTTTATATGATATTTGCCGAATTGTTTCTCGGCGTATTGACGTGTCCGGCCTGTTTACTGACGTGTGTGACGTGTATACTGACGGGTGTGGCGTGTTTACCGACGTGTGACGGAGATCTTACTCCATTTGCCAGCAAACAATATGAATACAAGCAGTCGTAACAAAGTACATTGCCAGCAGTGTGCCAATATTAAGCCTTCAGACGTAATGTTCTGGCATGGAAAAAGCGCCTAGCAAATATAATAATAATATTTATTCAAGTACTATGGGTATGGAATGTCAAGAAAACTGGCAACTGTCCACACAGTGAAACATGTCTTCTATCCTCTTTTCTTCAGCATTAAAATTTAACAAAACCCAGAACAAAGTTACATTTTCAGCTTGAAGATGAGATATAAAATACGTTGCATTAAATGTAACAATAATTGTCAACAAATGTGCAAGGATAGGGGATTTAAAACAATTTTTTATTCTATACCTCACTTTGGAATTGCATTCTTTTCACAGATTGGCTAGTTAATTATGTAAATTTCTTTTGGATGACAATAGCAAATGAGATACAAGCTGAGCTGGAAAATCATGAACAATCGAACTTCCTCGATCTTTGTTGATGGTCTCCTTCCATGATTAAAGACACTTACAGCATGTTTTATGAGAATTTAATGGCTCAAGGACGACCTGTTGTTGACGTGTATTTAATGATGCAAGATATCCATATCATATCATTTCAACCTAGCGACTAGAAATGTAGAATCAATCAATTTATATAATAAATGCTATTCTTAGATTAACATTACATTTGAAGCTGAAATTTTAAAGTACACTACCTCCCAAAATGGACATGCAAATTTGAAGTCCCAAATTTGATCAAGTGTGTGTATTCACCAGAAGGACTTACCAGGTACTATGACTAAAGAATAAAATCTCAATATAAGACGATATATCTATTAAACTAAGAAATTACTGAAACACAATTCTAAGCATGTTTCCAAATTACTTAGTTTAATGCAATATTACTTACTTTGGATGGATGCACTATATTATAGAGTGATTCTGTGATACAATTTTGACACCAGGTAAGTCTGCTGATGAACTAATTTTAACCACGTTTAAAAATTTGAATATTTTGTCATCCTAAGATGTAGCATACCTATACAGCAACATATGTAATACACAAAAATATCATCTATGAGTAGTATCATGTCGCAACTGAAACGACGCCCGTTAATTGAACGCCTTTCTGCGGTCAATTCGATGGATGTATCAAAGCAGTGACTTTTTGTGACCAATGAGGGAAATTCTGCCAGGACAGGCAGTAGCCTAATATTGTTCAAATTCCATAGCATAATATGCTGCAGTGAAGTGTAGCACCCGAACGACTTTTTCTTGTCAGACCCTACTAGCATGCCGATATTTGGTTGAAAAAGGAAAATAATTTCTTAGCTTTTGTTAAGTCGAAGCATGTATATATAGAAGCTAGTGCAGCCCAGTAGGTTCTGTCTAGTTGGGTAACTTTGACACGTCATCAAGTTTCTGTGCGAACAGTTCACACCAAATATCAAGCAGAAATCTAATTAAAAGAGGAAACTAATTTGGACAATTATACATGCAACATGTTAACTGTAAATAATTGGTGTTAAATAATTAGTTAAACAATATAACATAACACCAAAACCAATAATTACTTCTTCATTATCCTAAAGAGTAATACATTCGATCTCGACATGAAACACTCGAACTTTTCAACCCCTCCTCTCTCTATACTCATGATGCATGGCCTGACACGACAGACGCGTAACATGTTATTTAAACCAAGGTTTGTGCACCTTCATTATCCCTCAACAATTAGACATTGTCTATCTTCATTACTCCAAAATGGAGTAGAAGAATAAGGTGTAAAACGTTGTTTCATTTTATTTTCTAACCCAAGGTTGACGAATATATCAGCCGATATATTAGACTGAATTGATGTTATATTGATAAAAGGTTGTCAAGTTAGTGTTGGAGTTGTCAGGGGTATTACATTTATTATTAATGTTCCACAAGGCAATAGTGTCACTTATTACAATAACTGTTCATGTGTTATGAGATACCGAAAGTTGAAACAGCATTTTGTAAGTGCATATAAGTACAAATCAATCAGTGATCATTGCTATCTTGACACATATAAAAATCACTTTAAATCAAGCCGAAATACTCGAGTGATCGCTGTCCAAATTCAACAAGTTACACCAGAACCATTTGAGTTTTCGCACTTTGCTGTGAAAGTGGCATTTTCTTCTCATAAAAAGGAACAATGTTTCCATAACATATTGTACTCCATTTCTTACGATCCTATATGTGATATTTTCACACATTTTCGTCATAAATAGAAGTAAGAAACTACAAAATATGTATTTATTCGAAAGCTACATTCAAACGACCCGAGTAAAGCCACTGAAGCAATCTGGTGTTTACTAATCACGGAGGAAAAGGGTTAAAACGTTACAGAAATATTTAGGATTCATTGTACCCTTTTTAAATTTTCTAAATCCCCTCATCCATCAGCATGATATTATAAAAATCTTTTAATTTTTAATTCCCACAAGGTCTATCAGGTACCCTTTAGGTGTTGGGAAAAGGCCGCTATAGGGTTTGGGGTTTATAATAAGTGCTCTTGTGCATTATAACTCAGCTGCGCCAAGCCAACCAGCATTTTCAATATGAGAGATGATTCAACGATATCCATAATAACATTATTTCTATTATAAATTTAGATGGCGGTTTGGTGAAGTCACTTGCAGATGGTACGCATTCAATGGTATGTTCTTCGGATTAGCAAGTATCGGATGTTTAGCTTCCATTGGTTTAGACAGATACATGCTGACTTGTCGCTATCATAAATGTAAGTTCCAACTTTTCTTCGCAGTTTAGGTGTACTTTGTAGTATATTTGGGTCACTGATAGGAGTCTGTGATTCTTTCAATTCCTCTTAAACTAAACTTTATTACGTGACTATCGCAAATGCCTGCGGATATGTGAGGACGACATAAATCTTAGTTTTAGTGGAATAGCAATAACTGATACACATTAACAGTTCAGAAAATCGCTTTACAATCCATTTAATTCGCAGCTACATTCTGTCCATAAATACCACGAATAATCGCATGGTTAAAATTGGTTACAGGTTTAGTGGTTAACTTCAATTGCATAATGTCAGCATGAATAATACTCTCTAATTTGAGGTGCAAAAAACTTACATTTCAAGTTTTTTAAAGAAACGTGTGACGAATTCTATTATTGTGTATCTGTTTTTTCATCATCAAAGATTCTAATGAATGCTATTTTTTGGTTCTTTTCGTTTATTTAGCGAAGCCCACGTAGTTAATGAGATTTTATATTAAAATTTGAAACATTATTTGCTTTTCATATGTTTTGTATGTATTGTGATTACCCATTGTCATAAACAATACAAGTTCAGAACTGTAAAGACTACATGACAAATGAAAGTCTGGCCATTCAGTCATTCAGCTAACTAATATTGACAAACTAACGCTTGGAGGCACCTGGGTACCATTGACGGTGCCATTTAAACCGTCTCTGAAATATGGGATGACCTTAATAGATATTCCACGGTTTGTACAATCTTGGGCTATAAAAGGGTTTGCAAAGAGGTTGTATAAGTTACATGTGTTTTGGGGACAATTTGCACCATTCCAATTTCCATTTTAATCTTTGGTTCCCGTAATTCCACGACAACTAAGTGTTAAACGAAACATCACAATTCTCAAGGGCCTTAAGTGAAAATCGTCTTTTCTGATAAGAAACAGAAACAACAAACGTCTGATTGAAAATGGGAATGGTGCAACTTGGTGCTATCAGTGTCCACATTTTTAAAAATTCTTACCGATACGTATAATTTCTTTAGAAAACCTCTTTACAATCCCTTTAAGCTTGGGTTACCTGCATTTCGTGTTACTTGTAAGGATTGAAATATTTTGTCATTCCAGTCACAGGCTTTTTATATAGCTGATGCATTAGAAACCATTCTGGCACCATCCGACAAGAGGAAAATGCTTATGAAGAAACGATAGACATTATAGATTGATAGATATTATCAGCTCACATCAGATTACCTTAGTTTAACCATATTCGAACTTGTTTATTATTGTCTATTTCAGATTTAGAGTTGGAAACTAAACATTATGTGGGTTTATCTCTTGCGGTGTGGCTCAATGCCTTATTTTGGGCTGTAATGCCATTATTAGGCTGGTCACAGTAAGTATCATACGACATTGTCAGAGTAAGATCATACTTAACTACGTGTCTGATATATTAGCCAGAATCAGATCACAAACTCTGTTGACCGACATGTAAAAGGCGGAGTCAACCGAATTCTTTTTTCAAACGTCTCATATCTTTCCTAACAGTTTGCATCGAAAGAATGTTTTCAACGCTTAAGAAAGTTGCAAATTGTGCTTGTGAATTGACAGATAGTCATGGCCAATGGAACGGAGTGGAAATCGATTGTTGGCGATTTTCTTTCCATAGGCATCACCATCTTGTATAGAGATTTAATTTTTTTTTAGATTTTTGTTTCGCAACCAATGAGAATTACATGTATTTGAGGAAGGCTTAGTTCAAATATTTATAATTCGCCCGATATTTTTGGCTTAGATATTTAGATGTCTGTCAACATGAACTATTTTTTGGTATCTGTTATTTTCTTCGTAAGAACGACACGTAGTTTCGTATGAATAAGTGATGTTTTTATGTTCTTACGCACTAGTGTCATGACAAACGCCTTATCCTAAAGGAGATTTTTTTCTGAATCTTAATAACGAGACTGTCCCTTGATACTCTGTTTCTTAATCATTGACTCATATTACGAAGTCTCTTTATTCCCTCGTTAAATATTATTTTTAAAGCTGTACTGGAAGTCTTAAGTACACAAAAATATGTTTTTACGCTAACAAGTATTTAACTTCTAATAACATTGATATTGGCTTCGAGATAGAATTGTTATTACAATATTAAAACTGTCAATAATACAATTTTAATCAGATATTAACAACGCTTCACAAGAATTGTATTTAACTCATCGAAAGATAAGCTACCACGTAGACTGAAATCTTGACATTAACCACGTGTTTGACTCATCGGATGTGAGCTACGACGTAGGCTGAAATCGTGGTAGGTGCACGATGATCTGATGTCATTAAGTTTTATTAACTGAAACAGTTGGCGTTTTGAACTTAATGGTAAAAAATTGTCACCAGTGGAAAACAAAAAAATATGTTTAAGAGGAGTTCCTGTTACAGTTTTTTTTTAATTTCTTTTCATTGGCATCACAATTATATTTTTTTTTATGTCTATATCACATAATTGGCTGTTTTAAAATATATAAGATTCTTGAAAGATAATTATAGAAATTCTGGTTTCTCGGAATATTTTAAGAAGTATTTCTGTATGGTTTCATTGTTAGGTAGCGACAATGACGCAAGGTTATTATTATGACCTATAACTTTCCGATGTTTGCTAATAAGGACAAAGATAGAATAGATTCGTTGTCACCTTTTTAGCGTTCATTCATTTATAATTAAATCACGATTCCGTTTACACGGTATCACGCAATTTGATTGGATAACAGCGGTCACGTGAATTCGGTTTATATCTGTGTAAACGGAATGTAAATATAAGCTCCGCCGGACTGCTTTTATCAGTGATTTGATTGACGTGGCCACTACACAGCGTCGATGTCTTTTCTTCGAACGTCACCAGAGCCGAAATCTGCACTTCACTGAATGATTACGGTATTTTCCAAATTCCCTCCATTCTCCAAATATCAACAAAATTATGATTTTTGGATTTATTTCGAACTCGGCTGTCAATAATTGAACTTAAAATGTGGCCGCTAATTCAACTTTCAAGCAGTAGCAATAAATAGGTGACCCACTTATTGCTGATTGGCTGTTCTCTTGGACGTCTCTATTGTTAGTATGGTGCAGAAAGTATGACGTAAAACTCCATTCATTTCATTTCATTTCTATTGTTAGTATCAGTTCAGCTATGCGGATTTATACAGTGTACACAGGTTTTTTCTGTTTATACATCGATAAACTGAAAAAATGTTCAGGTCATTCCTTAAGTATATGAACCTGTATACGGATGATTAAGATGACAATGCAATTCGAAATCACCTTCATCCATCATTTTTGGCATATATTATAACTAAAGAGAACGCATTGCCACCATACAAACGATTCACGATCTGAAATACTCGATGGTACTACTCTTTGGAGGAGTCCACTACTATGCTACCTTTACTTCCGATTTTGCTATTCCTTTTGACAAGACTTTTGATTGACGGAATTGTTTTGCTTGTAAGGAAATTTATCACCAGTTTCTAACTACCACATCTAAATCAAGACAGTATCTAAAATTTTTTTAGTTCTATTAAAGTTTTCTTGAAACATTCAAATGATTTTTTTAATTTTTCAGATACACGATAGATTCCTCAGCAATAGCATGTTTACTAGATTTATCCAGACCGGAAATTGGATTAATTCTATATATATTAGCTATTTTCATATTTTGTTTTGTTATACCATTGACAATAGTTGGTATCACATATTATAAAGCCTGGATGAAGATTCTAGAAATTGGCGATGGCGGAGCACAAGAAAATATAGAATGGACCAACCATAAACAAATAACCAAGGTGAGAATCTAGTGTCTGTATAACTAGAACCGCTTCAAGTATTTGTTTTCAATATGAATATGAACTTGAATCGCTCCGTTTAGTGACTTTCTTGCTGTCCTGATGGGAGCGGCGGTGTCTCAATGCGTTAACGTTGACAGCGTAAAGTGGTCTCTTGCAACTATTAAAACTAAACCTGATTTAACAAAATGTCGCCTGGTATTAACATTTCAAGATTCTCGACTAGACTGAAATTATGTGTTCGTAATGTTAAGAGATATTCGTCACAACCATTAAACCAAGACTCCTTTTGTCTGCTATGCGCTGGCGTATACGCAGCCGTATGCCAGCGAACTTTTCTGGAAATAACCTGACAACATACTTGCTAATTTAAGATCCGAGCGATTTTTTCATGCTTATAGATACGTACTACGCAAGTGCAACAGACAATAGTCTCGGCCTAACGGAATGAATTTGTGTGCATTCTGTTGTCAAAAATCACTTCACCTTTGTAGGAACGTAGTTGACAAAAAAAATAATTTAGACATTCATGCATACTTAAATGTATAATATTCTAGACATTCCGACTTGTAAATTGCCAAGAACGCCGATAACTACATTCAATAAATCAAAAACCATTAGCACATATAATCTTCAAAAATCACATTTCAAATTTATTACCATATATGCCAGATATACCCGCTTTAACATGATTTAATTGCAACTAAAAGCTTATCAACAATCAATCTGTGAATGATATACCACGTATTGCCATGGGAAGGTGATTACGATGTCTGGTTATTTTTAATCAGCGTTTCTGCTTACTGTTGATATTTTTATACTCGATATTTCTGTTTATCATACCCAAGGATAGATGTAACCCTAGGGACAACCAAACCAAAGGAAAATTTATTTTGAATAAAATAACCGACATCATTAAACATGTTTTTGTATCACGGAAGTTTGTATATGCAAGAATGCAAATAGTCTAATGGTGTCAAGGTAATAAACGGAGTTCGTTATAAAGTTGACATTGTGAAGATGGTCATATCCTTGATCTTTTTAAATGCCAGACAGCTTAATGAAAATATTTGATTTAAGGACGGCCTTTTCTTCAGAAGAATCAATTGTTGAATTTACGGTGATCATGTTATCTAATAATTGCTTTCCCAATCACACAGTATTATTTACGTCTGAGAACATGTGTCAGACATGATATATAACCCATTGACACGATTTGTCAATCGAATTGGCTCATGTTACCACCAGAGTAGTTCTATGCCGTTTTAATTAGGGTTAAAAATAAATACCAGGTTGTTTTGAAATTCAAAGAGACCACGTCTTTATGCGACAATTTCAATCGACTTTCAATCAGTAGAGCTTATAGCAGATCATTTTACATATACACAGAAACGGTTATATTCATCTTCACGATGGTCAAGGTATAGGTGAAATTGTAGTAACTTGATCGTAGTGAAGATGGAACAATGTAAGACAGCTCATAGTTCTTATCGACGTCTTCGAATACAAAAATTACACAAACTTATTCAATTCAAAAACGGGAAACAAGTATCTTTTCCTGAAAGAGCAAGAAGAAGCTCGTGCAACTGAAAGACCTATGTTTATTTGAATCACAAGGTAAATTCTTCTAAATATTACATTGTATATTTTCAGATGTCTGTGGTAGTTGTTGTAATGTTTTGTTTTACGTGGTCACCTTATGCCATGGTACATCTATATTGTATATTTCGAACAACTCGTCACATACCTCCAGCGTTAAGTATTGTGCCAGCATTATTAGCTAAATCGTCAGCTGTATATAACCCTTACATTTATGCCATAGTTAACAAACGATTTCGACTTGCCTTAAAGAAAATGTGTGGTTGTATTTGTACCAGAAATGACAGACAGGCCCTTCAGATTCACAATCTGTGTTGATGGATCAAACTTATGCATTCAAATGGAACTGGTTGTGCTTTTTTTGCGGTGCCTATGGATACAGTGTCTTCACTATGTGACAAACTTTGTTCATCGAAAAGTGTTAGGTTGTGATTTTATTACAGGAATATACTGAATGTACCATGCCGTCAGTGTTTATAAAGATGAATGACATCGAGTGCAAGAAATTAAAATAAAAGTAACGTTTTATTTATAAATGTATTTATACAATCATCTGCACTCTTACAGTCGTATTCCATTCAAATATCAAAAATGAAATGATTTTTTATTGTAACAATCTATTTTCATTTTCATCTACTTATATTTGTCCATATTTGACATTCCTTGTTCTTGGTTTTTCAAAAAGCTCAAGCTTTCGTGTGGAAATAATGAATTTCTTGACAGACACCTCCCGCATACAGCGAAACTTCAGATTCCGAAAACCCAAGTATAACAAACAGTATAACATAAGGAAGTGACATCAACTACGAATTTTTTATCAGATTCTACTAGATCCAGGTAACCCACATTCTGTCGCAAGATACATCCATCCATGCTAGTGTATCAGTCTTTTCTAAAGGGACCTGTAAAAAAACCGCCGAGCACCATATACCATCAACGCCACTTTGACAATTTCTGCTTAAAGTAGGTTGTCATTAATTATCATCTGGCTTTAAAAAATATCAAGGGAAGTTTCTTTCAATAATATTTGAATATAAGAACATAGTCCTTGAAGCTGATCATTTTTACAAGTTTAATGTAGCACAAATCAAACTACAAGACCAACATGAAAGTTTCCTTTCTAAATCTTAATGTCAAAAACTCTTGACCTAATCATTGCGGATCATGTTTTAAGGAGCTTTTGCTAGATTGAATTTGAAATACCAATTATCTTGAGAAGGTTTTTTCAGTTTTCTGATGATATCAGCTTAGATTATCATACAGCAATGTACTTTCTCGAAGTAAATTTAAATCAATATGACCTACTAGTGACATTCCCGTCATTTTGCCCTAGTAAAGTAATGAACAGTAAGACATTTCATATGCTTTCTGCTACTGACACAAGCAAGCGGAAACATTCTGTAATATTCAACTCACACTGAATAGCAACCCAGACTGTTATTAATTTAGAAATCAGCTAATGTAATCATGATATTAAAGTTTTTAACATGGACGTGAATGTAAACCCAAAGCGACAATATCATTTCTAAGATAAGATGGAATGGAATATATTTGCTCTTTAACAATCGAATATTGGAATCAATAAAGTCTATGACGAATATTTACTCAACTGACGGTCCAATATCTGCAACACGGAAGTAACATTTGGGAATAGGGGTTTATAAAGCAACGTTTAAAGTGCATATCAGATGCTGCTATATACTTGATTTGAAATGTTATTAAGAGCGGAAATGGAAGAGACTGATTCCTTTGTGTTCGATATTCTAGACTCGAGATTTGAAGCTGATTATTTGCAAATTCCCTGGTGGTTTGGGGCATGGTAATTTGGTGTTTATGTGTTTTGTACAAAGTATTTAAGGCCTAGTGAATTTGCAATTAGTAACGTCGTTACACTTAAGCCAAAGTCAATTGGGAAAACCGTGTCTCATCATTTTCTTAGGCGTATTGATAAGAACACTTTACACTGATGACGTTGATGACAGAACTGATTGTCTATCAATAAAAAAGACTCTATTATCATTGTCGACACAATAAGTTAATGAGCTATTGTATCTTTAAAAGTACAATATCTGAATGTAGAACATGTTCATAATAAGGCTCATCACAGACAACAATATGAAGCCAAACTGCATTATACTGACTATGTCACAAAAGTATTACAGTCACATGAATTATGTCACAAAGATAATAGTATCACAAAGGTAACGATTTAATGAATAAGTTACAAAGATAATGGTTTGATAAATATGTTGCAAAAATAACAGTTTATTTAATATGTCATAAAGGTAATGATTTCATGAAAATGTCACAAAGGTAAAAGATGAATGAATATCTCACAAAGTCTATCAATAATTAGACTCTATTATTATTGCAGTCACAATAAGTTAATGAGCTATTATATCTAATAAAGTACAGTATCTGAATGTAAAACATAATATTATTTATAATAAGGCTACAGAGACAACAATATGTAGCCAAACTGAAAATGTCGCAAAAGTGAGGGTTAAACGACTATGTCACAAATCAAACCGTTTAATGAATAGGTCACATAGGTTTGTGTTAACTGAATATGTCACAAAGGTAATGGTTTAATTGTTCATCCTTCTCACCCCTGGAGCAATCACCTTGACCTTTCACACCCCCCAAAATTTGATTCATCCACATTTCCAGCATGTGATGATGTGGGGTGCTCTCTGATTCAAAATAAATTCTTCTCCTACACCAATTGGTCACAACTCTGACACCCTAGTCCCACATCCCCAGGGGGTGAAAACACTCTAGGTTGGTGACCGGGGAAGTAAAAATAAAGATTTGATTAATAGGTCACAAAGGGTTTAGTAAATATGTCACAATGGTAAAGGTTTAATGAACATGTCACAAAGGTAAGAGTTTAATAAATATGTTACAATGGTAAGGGCTTAAAGAATATGTCACAATGGTAAGGGCTTAAAGAATATTTCACAGTAAGGGTTTAATGAACCTGTCACAAGGGTAAAGATTAATTGAATATGTCACAAAGGCTATGGTCTAATGATTATATCCCAATGGTTTAATAGAGGTTTAATAAGCATTTCGAAAAGGTAAGGGTTTAATAAAACAGGTCACAAAGATATGGATTAAACGAACATGTCTATGTAAGGCTTTAATCAATATGTCACAAGGTAAGGGTTTATAAATATGTCATAAAGTAAGGGTTTAATGAACATATCACAATGGCTATGGCTTAATGATTATGTCAAAAAAGTAAAGGTTTACTGAATATATCACATTAATAATGATCGAAATCAAAGGTTAGAATTTCAGGGCTTGTTTGCCATTATCTCCATGATATCCTTTACAATCTTTTCATTGCATCATAGTGATTTTACGTCTTATTACGTCTGTAATCCCTATTTGCGAACGCTTTATCTGGTCAACTTTTTTGCTGGAAGAAGAGGAACCAAATACATATTGAGACATCAGCGATGAACCGGTCATCATGGTATTTCATCGTCAAGAAGCAGAAAAATAATGGGATATATTTGCTTTCCCATGTACTGAAGGTTTAACGTCAGTAATTTTAGAAAAAAAGAACCAAGGGCAGAAAGGTGACAAGAGAAAAAATTCTCAGAGTGTTAATAAAATTCTCATTTACATTTAACCCTTCAGACACATAATTTAATTACATTCACTGAAGAAGCATAAAAAATCTCAATTAATTAATTATCTCTCACAATTCAAGGAAGTAATCGTGATGTCTCGAGATCACCTCATCCTGAAAATTTAAATTATCTGGCTTACTAGCTAGGTGCTAATTGTACTTGTAACGATTTTCTTTTAGTTTAAATGACCTTGATCCTCTGCTGATGTGTGAATGTCAAGGAATCGGCCGTAAGACCATTAAGGTTCTATCTGACATACATTAACAAAAAATTGAACAGTCTCTGGTATATGTCTTTATTGACAGAAAAACTACATATTGTTTGATTGGGCGTCAGGAATCTCTATCTGGTGTAGAAATCAAAGCTAGGTTCTGATTCTACAATAAATATGTCAAGCACAAAAGATCCGAACCGCAAAAGTTGATCTGAAATCAAACAGCTTACTAGCAAAACATTGGTAACACCAAATGAACGTTTCACAGGCGAAAGTTTATTAAGTAACGATCAAGATGTCATTCGTAGTGTACAAAACTGGACTCAAGTATCTTACGCCATGAATTGCCCAAGTACATATCGAATCGGCGAGATTACGGGAAGAAGAAAATAATGTGGAATTTTATCAGATGGGATAATGATGGGTTTTCCTTTACATTTTCAGAGACTGTAGTTTGGTATTTCAAAGTTATCTCGGATGAGCGGGATTTGCCTCTCATGAAGTGTTCACTTGCTGTTGACTTGACTGTTGCCAAAACCCGATTTTTCATGCAATAGTTTTGATGCTAAGTATAGTTATGATATCGTCGATGAGTTCAAGGACAAGGACAATGGAATTAGTTCGTAGTATGCCTTTGGCATATTATTTTGTAACTGCGAAGTATTTCAAAGCATGCATGACCTGCTAATTCAAGAAAGAAGGCATTATAAACAAATAGGATTATTTCCAGATATTAAGAAGTAAATTTCTTCCATATGAAGTACTGATAACAAAAGAAATACTACGTGTCTGAGATTAGATTAAGAACTTGTTGGCGCTATCTGAAAGTATGATCAAGTCAAAACGGTCCACACAGAGTTAAATACTATGAACGGGACCTACTAATGATAATGCATGTGCTATCTCTTCAGGGATTTTTTTTACCTAGAACTTAAATACTTTATCTTTTATCAAATACATAATCCACTAGAATAGCCGTGAAATATGCTTGCTTTATGGTGAATCTCTGCTACTTGTCAATGGCTCAACTACAAAAGGGACAGGCTGAAAGAAGTCTACAGGCCCCTACAGGACTGGTGGGGAGCATATTTTTTTTAAAAGCTCGTCTTGCTTCATTTCCATCAAGGATATGAGTCTGCTTCTAACACAACAAACTTGTGTCGTAATGTAACTAGAAACAGTCCCCACACAAAAGGATAATACATTACTTCGGATCAAACAGAATTATCATAACAATCATCACAAATAATTTCTAATGCATCAACAGATAAACAAAATAGTATAACATAACAAAGTGATGTAGTGGTCCTTTTATAACAAATTGTGTAGATCTTTATATTCTTCATCATTTTTTCATTAGATGTTTGATTCTCTCTATTCTATCATGGACGACAAAAAAATACAATTTCTCAACTTTCATTATATTTTCAACTTCTCGCTCACCAACTGTTTTTAGGACTCTATATTTTTAACAATATATAAATTTCTCTTAATGAATATAAAATATTAAGTTCTGAAGTCAATATACACTATTGGGCGGAAAATGGACATACAGGTTGTTTAAACAACAACAAATTGTGCGCATTAAATAGATTATTTACATGTTTTCACATTTCAAATAGTTCATTGATCTCTGGTCGGATTCCGTATTGAATTATCACCCTCTGATTATTCACAGCTTCATGACGATTCTCTATCAATATCTACAATAAAGTTCAATCGTTGTACCCCGGTAGATTTCATTTGGGGATATCTGACTAATTCACAAGAAAGCGCCGCGAAATATTAGAATCGTTGTTTATATCAATTTTATGTACAATGCTGATACAGAAAGGTTGGTAATTGTCTTTTAAATGTACAATATGAACTACAGCAACAAAAAAGTAAGAAATGCCCAAAGCAATTTTTTACCAAGGGCCTTTTTGTCACAATCATTAAAATGTTACAGAAAAATACAGCTAAATCTAATTGGTATAGATATGTCTGCTCTGATCGTATTAACCAATTGTATTTTGTACAGATATTCAAATTGTAAATTAAGAAAATTGTAGGCCTATGATTTCTGAAATAGAAGACGCTCTTTTCGATATTTCTGGCATCATCATTCATAACAGATCACAGAGAAACACCGTATACTCCATAATATTAATTGTAATGATTCATCATTAAAGCAATTCATATCCTGTTGCACACGAGACGCGTATCATTACAATAGACTGCACAGTTAGATGTATATTATTCAATAGCGGTAAGATAAAATAAACATATTATGTGGTGAAATTTGATGATACCAAACATTATTCAATTAATGTCTACCAATTAGTTAATGATGTTATATGAACTGCTTGCTATTAGTGTGCGTTACATGACTCTTAGCAATAAAAAGTGGTATTAGTTGTTGAAAGCTTGATTTTAAGCTTGTGCACATCTTGTTACAAATCACTTGAGATAATAATACTTAACGATGAAGTGATTACCGCGAACATCGTACGATGGCCACACCTGGTTCGGACCTATTTTAAAAAATATATTTATAACACATCAATTAAAATCGTGTACATGCAATTGAAAATCTATTCTACAGGAGCAACTTTAGAACTAACTGTTAAGACATTAGGTTTTTGATTATTTAACGGCAGATCTTTCGGAACACGCGTGGTCATTGTAGCTGGCGCGAGATTCTGTTTCTCCGACGATACTTTATACAAAGCATATAATTTAGGTAAAAACAAGAAACATAGCGTGACTAAAGAATTGGCTAACATAGCCAAAGATAAAAACATGGCTTTATAATTAGTTTTAGTAGTTGTGAAATATGTCGGAATAAAAGCCAACCAAAGTACAATGGTAGTGTAAACGCAAAAACTTATAAATTTAGATTCGTTGAAATTATCGGGTAATTTTCTAGTTTTTATGGCATGGAAAGTACAAAGTAAGACTAATAACATATTATATGTAAGGGAACATAGGAACCCAATCTCTGGTAGTTGACAGGTGATTTCAACATAGCGCTCTGCAAAACTTGGCATCTGAGCTACGGCTTTTGGATTATCCATAATAGTGAACGTCGTTACGATGATAAGCTGAAATGAAAAGAATATAATGTTAAGATAAATCATTCTTTTACAGAGATTATTTATACTAAAACGACCCAAGAGCATTGGTAAGAATATACATTCTAAAAAACACATTTCAAAGGCTAGTTTTGGTCAGAAATTTACCAAAAAGAGTAAAATTTTCTTGCAAATTACATCGCGTTGCTTGTCATCCAAATTGAATAAGTAACGACGTAAAACTCCACCATATTTGTAAGAATTATCACAAAGAGTTCATCGTTTTCCTTGCTTTAAGATCAATGAAGATGGAAAAAGATAATTCTCCATGGATGTAATGTTTGAAGGGAGATAACTCAAATACAGACAACCTTTCAGAACGATTGGGTTCCCCTTGGTTGAACGACAGGTTTAAGATATCAATGATAACAAAGTATGCCTAGGATCAATTTCTGTTATCTTTATCTTTCTGTCATTGAATTTCACGATGTTAAACAATTATACGCAATTTACCCATGATTTTCTAGTTTGAGGCTTTAAGAAAAATGGGCAGTCGTGGAGATTCAGTGAGTTCCGTTTGGATATCAACACAGATTGAAACAGGTCGGACGAATAGACATGTAAAAGGAGTCGTAAAGAAAGTAAACCGTTAATGAAACCTCAATAGCTACAAAAAAGTCACCACTGTCCAGTAAAATTTCCTTTCGCTTATGGCGTAGTCCGTCATGATCCTAAAACGAGGAAGTAACACCAAATTTCATTTACTGCAATGTCACTGGCAAAGAACCCAGGCCCGTAGCTGCAGGGAAGAAATATAGGTCTATAAAGAAATGCTTTACCTGTACAAGAATTGTTATAATAGCAAAACTCATCTGGTACTTCGACTCAATAAATGGCGGTCGAGCTTTTGACTTCTTTCCAGATGTAAATATTCTGTATATTCTGTTAGTCTTTATCAGTAGCGGTCCATAGGAAAATGAAAAACTTAGATGAAATCCCAGATCGGTGACGGTGCATGTAAAGTCCGTAGGATAAACTACGAAGAATGTAACGAATATACTAGAAAGGAACACTCCGACAAGTATCAAATACGACAACTCCCTACTGCTTGCTTTGATAAGTTTCTCTTGGTTGTTGAGAATGTAGAACACGGTAACCAAAATGGCTAACATAATGGTCACGATATCGAACGAGACGATCAACGCTCCAGTAAAGTCTTGAACTTTTACAATCGTGGGCTCAATATTCACACACGATTCCTTTGTTTCTTCATCTGGCCAAGTATAATTACCCTGTTTAGGACAGATATCACATTTAGCTAATCCTTCCCTCATAACTGTTCTCTCGTTATCTCGACACTTCTGACAGTACCAACAACAATGAGGTTGCGTCACTACTTGCTGGTACCCAGCTTCGCATGGGTCACTACACGTGGATTTGGGAAGATTGTTCTTTTCTAAGGTTAGTAATGGGTTCCATAGTATATTTTCGGGACTAAATGTGGTAAAATTCTTGACCTCGCTATCCCATAACCCAATAGGTCTCAGAACATACTCTCCATTAACCAACTGAAAATTCTGCAACTCATAAACGGCGACACCATCTCCCTCGGAATTGAAAGCCACTTTACCATGCTCGCCATTGAAAGTGACACTGCGCAAAGCCTCAACCAAATCCGAGCCATTAAAACACAATCTTGGTGAAGTAGACCCAGTTGGACATTCTGAGAGTGTCTTGTTCATGGCTAAAGCATACGCATAAACAGCGTCCATAACTAGAGAAACGGTAACCTCCTGTTTGTAATTGGGAACAAAATTCATTGTGTCATTACATGCTGCTGTATTACCGGTAGCATCAAATTTGCAGTTATTATGAGCTTCCACAAAGTGTTTTATCCATGGATTTTCTGGCGCGGACTTAACTGATAGATGCATAAATGAGTCGTCAAATCTTTTGACAGATGGTGAGTAAAACTTAATAGTTATAGCTCCCAATGCCGCCTTTTCGATTCCATCGTAGTCTTGAATATTTCTTCCCCATGCATCACTACCTATCCATGTAAAATCTCCAGAGGCGTTCATTCGATCAACGGCCTTCATCAGTGCCCTAGTTTGAGCCAAAGGAGCAAATATCACAACCGCTTTTGCTCTTGGAGCTTTCTTGAGAGACTTGATTATGTCATCATATTCATCGTCCGAGAAGGACTGTCTCATTTCTGTTGTCACTGCTAAACACGAACCAATATCATCAATCCTTTTCTTAACGGCCTGGAATCCCAATGTACCATAACTACCTTCAGCATATATAACTGATATATACTCCCATCCAAAGTGGGCCAGCACATCAACTATTACTTTAGCTTGGAGAACATCGGACGGAACGATTCGGGAAAAATAAGGGTATACATTTTTGTCGCTGAGTATGGGACTTGTGGACAGATAACTGAGAATGGGGACTCTGAATATTGACAGCATGTCTGCCATTTGTACAGAGTTCCTACTGCTCTCAGTGCCTATAACACCAACAACATCATAAGCAACTAGACCTTCGTCATCTTCACTTCTGGTTTTATTCGCTTCTTGAATAAAATGCAACGTACGAGCTAAAGCTGTGGTGTCCTTAGAACAATCATCCATTAACGTGTATCCCAACTTAATATTTGGTAGAAGCGTTGTTTTGTTGTTTATTTCGTCAATGGCAAAGATGGCTGCTTGCACTCTTTGGAATGATCCCACTTCTCGATATTGTGAGCTGCATATGTTGTAACGGTCATATCTGTGGATAGGAATAACGATTCCAATGTTAATATCTTCTAGTTGTTCAAACGCAAGTGGTAAACCGGGTAAATCCCGAATATGAGCAAACACCATCGGTAAACCAAATATCAGGATAACAAAATCCATGATTTACTTCAGTTTGTCTCATCCATCTGAAAAAACAGAAGAGGTAAACACATAATCCATAAATAGGTGGATTTTTGTGGATTGTTCTTCCGGACTATTGCTTTGCTATCGCCAGTTTAGCTGTCGCTTTACAGACATGTTTTTTGTCATGAACACTCAGTGCACAACTTACCACATTCAAGTGTACACCAAAACTAAACAATTTTCATTATCCCAAATCATTTTCTATGTTTAGGTCAATAATTAACAATGATCAAGAAATGCTGATCTAGATATTGATCATCAAAAGTGCTAAATGACACTCAGGATATTGGTTTTACATCAGAAGGCCGGTAATTCTGTCAACATTTAAAATAAATTAAGTCAAACTGTTCAAACACTATACATTGTGAAGAATACAATTTATGAGATTAGCTCCAATCAATGAAAATCTCGTTTTTATAACTGTAAATATCAAAGTATAATTTCCTGTGATATAATGAGGTTTGATCTATATCGAATATCATAATGGTTGAAAATAAAAAAGAATAATGTCAAGTTACGACTAATGTAAAATCGAAGTCGGATGTGATTAGCAAAAGCGAGAAATATATGGCATACAATGACATTTCCATTTTAGATACACAAACGCAAACAAATGCAAAAATATGCAATGAGACCAAAAACATCACGAATCTGACAAAAAAGGATTCGAAATTTCAAACCATATGTCCATATTATGTAAGGGCAACATTTCCGATACAAGCAAAACAACCTCCTACTACATTCTGTAAGAACATCAAATTGGTGGATCCATTTGTAAATGCCCCCACAAAAGTGATTTAGCGCAACTTAACAACAACAATGTTTTAGAAACGTACTGTTGTTGGGTCTGTTAGTTTGTGGTTCGGTCCCAGTGGAAAAACTGATAATAGAAAGCCGGCGTCCGACGCTGAAGAACGTGTCAACGCGCAAGCCAATGGAAAACACAACTAAAGTCCTGAATACACTGATTTTTTATGCAATATCTGTAGATTTTGCATTTGCCCCACCAATAGCCTCTATGACACTTATCTAAACTGCAAGAACATGTGCAGGTCTCAAACACGGATTTAATAGATTCCACGAAAACTGTTCACGGAGGCGCTGACAGTGGATTGAAAACTGGCGGAGGTTTTCCATACTTCACTATATTATTACATGTAAAGTACATCACGTACTCAAATAATAATAAACTGAAAACAATGTTAAGGATAACAATAACTATGAATAATGAACGATTATTTAACCAACTTGTCTCGTTCGTATCAATTTACAATTTAACAAATTAATATAATATAGTTTATATTAATATTATGTCATACATCCAAAAAGTGAAAGAAACTTATTCCTTCTTACCTGATTAAAACAACTTGGTTAAGAAGCCTTAAATGATTTGTTTATTGTGGTATCCGGGAAAGAAACTAGCCGTTATGTAACAATTTGGAATAAAAGAATCTGGAAGCGTGTTATTTTCAATATCATATCTAATTAACAGTATTGGTATATCATAAAGACCATTTATTATCTTTTCCAATTATCTTAATTGCGATTCTCTGATTAGAGTAATTTGTTACATGACGACATTTTGATTAAATGAAATTCTATATGTAAAGTTTTTAAAACCCTTCTAAAAAATCGTGGCAATTAGCCTTTACAATGACGTAAAGTACGACAAACTTTTCAAAAATTTTAATTCTCTATGCCGAATTTTTAGATTAGATGGTTGTAATCTGGTCTTAAGCACAAGTCTCTTTTGATATATCCAAATTATTTTGCACTTAAAGACTGTATGCACTTTGCAACATCCGAATATAGAAATATCAAAATATTATCATTAGCTTAGTTAATCCTTCGATGGTATTTAAAAAGATTCTTCAATATCATAATTAAAGGTCATACCACATTCCTATCTGACCATAATATATCATAGTAAAATGCTTACTTATGTGGAAGAAAATTTTCGACCTTCAGGATTCCAAAGCACAAGATAACATTAGGATTATCTACACGTTTTATGAAATTGTCTCATATTTATTTCATAAACAAGGAAATAAAGCACCAATCAGATTTAAAATCATTATTTAATAGATGAACATTATTAGAGCAAAAACGATATCATATAACATGAATGACACTGTTTTTTTAATTTCAAGTCATGGCTCGAAATCTGAATCCGACATAATTTGTTTTCAGACAAGCATACTTAACAACGAAACTCTTTAAATTCGCGAGAGCAAAAACTTTATCATATTGCTTAAAAGTCACTGATTGTTATATCATGTAATGGCTCGATGTAATCCTACGACACAAAACACCTGATATCACCCAGTACTGGATTTGTTAATTCGATCGGAATTAAGCTGTAGCATACTTTGATCCTATTTTATAGCTTCACTTGTGGAAATCACGTTGATGTGAGGTGTCTATTTGAATTTTCTGTTGTGTCATTTGTGAGAATGACGTTAATGAAAGGTTTCTACGTAGATTTTCTGTAGTGTCAAATGCAAGATTCACGTTGATGAAAGGTTTCTATCTAGACTTTCTGTAGTGTCACAATGTAAGACTCAAAATGATGAAACGTTTCTATCTAGACTTTCTATAGCGTAACTAGTAAGACTCACGTTGATGAAAGCTGTTTACCTATACTTTCTGTAGCGTCACTTATGAGAATCATGTTGATGAAAGGCGTCTGCCAAGACAATGTAAAGTTCAATATTCTTTATATTTTTTTCAATCTATTTTAAAATAATCATTATGTTGACAATAATCATGTCCCTATTAAAATGAATCACAATAAAAATTGATATTTTATCGAAAACTAATACTATGTTCGATAATGTCTCGAAATATTTTTATATAAATTCTAAGTCATAAAGTTTGCGTTGGTGATACCAAATTAAAATAGTATTTTAAAAGTTCAAGCCATATATGGGTCAATTTGGGATTATGTTTTTAAGCGATATTTTTTTTCTCCAATTAATCACGATTTCTCACTTTAAATTCTAATGTCATAGGCCCTCTGTGGTACCAGCTGTATACCCAGATTGTTCGAAATCAAAATGGAAGTTAGTCAATACGACTGTCCTAGCACTACGGATTTCTCCCGGGCTTATTAACCTAATCAGGAGGGGAGTAATGCTTAATTCTCCATCTTACTTACTCATGATATACTTCCTCATGTGAAATGTTAATTAGCTGCTACCAAAGTTTCGCCAAAATGTTGTTTTGGATTTTGGGATTCGTTTTGCTGTTCGGATCGTTCGGACTAGGATTAAGACGTCTCGACATACTACATCAATAATACATAGTACAAATTATTGAAAACAAATCGCATATGGCAAAGAGTCGTATCCTAAGACCATACAAAAACAAAGGTAAAACCATTATTACAGAAGAAGACCATTCATCATTTTGTTTCCATGCAAAAAAGTGCCAATTTTTCAAATTTTTAAATAGTCGTTTCAGAAAGAATTCAAAGCAAAATGAACAAACCATAATAATTTATTCAAAATACCATTGAAGTATGCTTCTGTAAAGCATATGATCTGCTGATTATTCAATAATATTGAAGTTCAACAGTAACAACAAGAAGCAGTCACCAAATATGCCGTTTTGAGACGTAAAAGACGTAAAATACTCACCGTAAATGTTTGATACGAAGAATACACTTGGTTTCCTTCAGGCCACAAAATTAAGGTTGGGAAACTCATCGTCGGCTATTTATACCTAAAAAATGGTATAAAAATAATAATTACTAGGCAAATACTCAGCATTTGCATGAATTTATTTATTCAACGATACTTAAGAATATTTAAAATATTGAAGAACCATTTCCAAGGGATTTTTGTCGAGAGGAAAATCTATACGATATTTCATACCTGTGAAGAAAAAAAATAACGTAACGTGAGAATGAGATGAAATGTTGGTTTTTAATCAAATAAAAATATCTAGATCTACTTCAGTGTGGTTTTATTTAAATAATGCACTCTGAGCATGGGCATTACATGGTTCTTAAAGTATCGATTTTACTATTAAAAAACTAATTTTTGGCCATTTGCATTGTAGGTGTACAACTTAAACAACCTATCTAGCAATAGTATTTGCATTAACTGCGGGCCATACCTTGAGGAGCGGAAGTGAGCTGATCGACATAAAACAGTTTCAAAGGAAACTATATTGATGTAACTGTAAGTGAAGAGGTGTTTCAACGGAAATGTTAGTAAGTTCTATGAGAATGACTCTGTTTTAGAAATAGTGTAACCACATCGTTATCTTTATAAAAAATAAAACACGATCTAATATAGGAATTTTAATCAATATATTCTCACTATATATATTATTTGAAATACGAGTTTCAGCAATATTACGTTCTCACGCTCCTGTATGTATTTAATGCACAATGAAATGGTAAGAATAATAAGGACAAAGGTCAAGATCGTTCAACACGATACGGATATTCAAACCTCTGCAAAAGTTGATCTACATTGTGAAAATCACATAAGCTTCGACAGATTTGGGGAAATTTGTAGATGTTTGAATTTTTTCAAAATAAATTCATTTAGATTTTTTGTTTATCAAGCTACGATATAACTAAAATATATATGGTTTATTAATATTTAAAATGATGTAATATATTCCTTTATCATTATCGTTATCCAATTTATTCCTTTATCATTATCGTTATCCAATTTTTAGAATAAAAATAAAAATTCGCAAGGCATCCCATCTGATCCATTGCAGTCGAAATGATCGTAACGTTCATATACCGACTCAAAGCAATCAACTGATTTCAATGTCGAGAAGATCCGATTATGGTAAGAAGTAGAACATAATTACTGGCAAAATTGACAGTCAATGACAGCAAGTGCGTTTTTCAGTTTTCGTTGAACCAAGGTCGATTTAGTCCATCGATTTGTTATCCAGTTGATTTCAGATTCTACCAGTCTCAAGGTCGACCCGAGACAACAACAAGTCGTTTTTAGTACCCTATCATGGTTTTCAAGTCATTTTCAGAGAGTTTCTGTTTTGTTCTGTAATTACTTCGATAATATTATTTTTTGTAGATGGTATTGTCTGGAATTTATGTACTGCTCTCTATTTTAGTTTCGTGCAATTTATTATTGGTATGTTCCATCAGAATATTTTTGAAACACAGATTCCATTCGCCGATACCACGTTAAATATCTAGTTAGCCAAATAACTATGTAATTGTGTATATAGAAATTAATTTAAAAATAAAAACCTGAATGGCATTGTACACTATAATAATTAGGAATACTGGAAATATATTGATCTACTTTTTGTTAAATTACAAGAACAATATTGTCCACATTCTTGGCGATTTACTGTTAAAAAGATCAATTAAATTAACATTAATTCGATGGAAACAATACAAGATATATTTACTCTCAAATTAAACAAAGATACATTTCTAACGTACTCTTAGAAAGAAACGAGTCGTGACCAACTCGATGACTGGGATGCATGATTCAACAGTGACATTGGATTTGAAGTAATTTGAACAGAAAGGAAAGATTCAGGGAAAGATTTAGTTTGAATTTCAAAGTTTTCCCCATAATGAAAATTCCCGAAGTATCTTGAAAATATTGGAAAGTGATGTAACTATATCGCTCTACAATTGATGTATTGGGCACTATTTTAACAGTGATTTTTTTTATTAATTTTGTACATATTGACCTTCATGTTGATTCTAACTTAAAACTCCAGCAAATATAAAGTTCAAGCTTATCCCCAAAACAGGCATATCACGTATCACTGACTTGGTAACGCAGTCGCAATTACGAATTATAAACTATAGCGTTATTTGATCTAAATGTATGTTTGTAATGGCATGAATGTTGCAATTCATTATTTCGTCGAATTCAGGATTACGGATAAACCGTTTACTAATACTTGTGTTTCCTGCTGAGTCAAGCGCAACATTTCGTTAAAATGCAGAAATGATAAGGCTCTAATAAGAAACGCTTCCGGAGTTGCATTTCCCACTGAGAAGTTATAACTAAGTTCATGAAAAAAAAGGTTATTCTCTCTATTGAGATTAATGTAACTATCTAAATCCACGTTTCAATATTAATATGAATTAAATTAGGAGACAGCTGATACCCAAAGATCAAAGACTTAATACTCCCTCGTATCAATAAAACAAATACGTTTTTAAAAACCATTATTATTATGTAGTTATAGATCGAAGGTTTAAAAAATTCCATGTTTTTTTTTAAGGAAGCTGTATTACATACAACAAGAAAGGGTTTCAAGTGACTGAGGGACAATCGGAATATAGTATAAGGTTTAAGTCAAGTAAGAGGCTAAAATAATCATAGCCTTACGTCAATCTCTTGATATTTTATCTGAAGAGATGAGCTTAAAAAGGTTAAAGAGCCTGAAAAGGTTGAAAGACGATTCCAATCGTTCGAATGTGGAATGTTATCACTTTTCCAATAAAAAGTCAATAATGATTGCCTTACCTGATGCTGACCATGCGTCATCCGCGAAATGATAACCCAATTTAACCGACGCAGAATTTACTATATATCAAATAAATTATGAATGATCACTACGTATATAGATTTATTAATGAAGAGAACAACAGATTTACGACACTTCAACAAAATGGGTTAGTTGAAAAGTATCCGTATTCAAATACTTAAATACTCTTAAGGCCAGGCCAAACTAAATTTTTGTTTTCTTGATACTGTTAGCTATTACTATCGTGCCCTTTGGCTAATCCTGAATTAAGTTTTGATGTGGATTTATAGTAATATAGTGTGATGATAATCGAAAACCGAATCTGCCCCCCGATGTCTTTTTAAAAAAAGCCTAACTCTTGATACATGAAGCCAAATGGTAGGTTGTGTATATTCATTATCTTGAAGTACATTTTTCACCCTAACATCCTAGTGTAAATGAATGAATATATATTTGGAAAAAGACTGCATTGCCCATTCTTTAAGCAAACCGAAGACAAAAAGTAGGGTTGGGTAGCCAGAAATTTCAAGGCACCGACTTTTGGCGGCTACGTTTGGTCTTTCTTTGTCTTGATTTTACAATTTGTATTTATTTGTATTATAAAAGGATTAGGCATGGTACGGATGCTGTCGAGGGGTCTTGACATAATTTTGAATTCCTGCGTTGTCTTTTAACGGAAGAAGGTCTCCACTAGTGTAGAATGTAAAATTGTGTTATTCACTTGAAGTGTAAGAGAAATATAAAAATACAATATATTTATGAATTTAATAACTCGTATTGTTTTGATTATACTAATCACCTAGTTGTTACCAGGAAATATTTGAAGGTGATATTTGTTCAGCTCTTCTTAGTAACTGTCCTTACTTCTGTATACGAGTTAAGCTTAAAGTGTTACAATCTTGTAATTATAATTCTAGAAAGAAATGTTGACCATGCTTTTTGGTACATCGTCCGTATTCTTGTAGCTAATGCGCAATCTACCACAGAATAAAATTCAAACCATTTAGATACGGGCAGGATTTTAAGGAGTAGAGGTGGAGAATACCTAATATATACGGACAACGTTATTTATTTTTAAATTGACTTATCACAAGTCACTGATTACAAGAAATGCACGAATATTGTTCCAAACGCTTCAAAGAATATATACCTGAATTGGTCATGAACAAACCAGGATTTGAAACAAAAATTAATGCATGATTTCCGATCTTGATTAGCGGAAAAAAACTTAATCATCCGGAGGCTTATTAAATATTTCGATATTTAGATTTGCATCCGCTTCATCGCTTTGTTTTAATGAAGGTTGTGAGACAATATAGAAGATGGTAATCACAAAATAATTCTAAAATATACTAAACTTACCTTTGCCGACATCTTCCATCGGAAATTTGTAAAAGATATTCGTTTGAGATTTAATCTAAATTCTTGATAACGAGATGATAATGTTGTTATTGTCCAGATAAAACAACTGAGACAAAATCAATGAATCTGTTCCTTTAAGACTAATCTTGATCATTTGTTATCTAATCTAAATTAGAAAATGTTATAAAAAGAAAAACGTCCTTTTCTTGCAAATTTGTCTTGCTTTGGAAGAAGATTTTATATCTTTTAAATTATTTTAAATTATTTTGTATCAGATAATTGGATTGGTTTGTCGTTTTTTCAGATTTTGATTATACTTTGATACTATTAGTGACCATTATTATACAAGTGCTTATATTATGGATCTTTAGGTTTGTCTTTTCATTGAAAGTCCACGTCTGTCAATCTTAAGACAAATACATTAGGAATGTTTTACAGTTTAGACTATTATTCAACCTGCAAGATGTTGATGTTACTTGTGTTTCTTGTGTACGGTATTAACTGTGATATACCCCATCCAAGCGATCTACCAACAGTGTTATATTCTCAAAAAGGCGATTTGAATATTGGAATCATTGTACCAATGCATTACTCTTCTTCTACCTCCATGTGCAGTCCGAACATCCGTGGTTTAACCAACTTCCAGAAAGCGGAAGCCATGGCATTCGCAGTAAAGGAGATCAACGACCGTAATGATATTCTACCAAATACAACCCTTGGATTCTATATGCTAGATGATTGTGCCAAAGACACAACTGCAATGGCAAGAGCACTCCACTTTACCCAAACTAACAGCGGGAGACATGATGAAGACCATCTTCAAGCTTACAATGTAGTGGGAGTTATTGGTGCTGAAAGTAGTAGAAATTCCGTTCAAATAGCGGATTTGTTGTCACTCTTTCAAATTCCTGTCATCAGCTATATTTCAACAAGTCCTGCATTGAGTGACAAGGATACATATCCATATTTCTCCAGAATTGTACCATCCGATTCACTTCAAATGTCCGTTCTAATGGACATCATTATAAAATTCGACTGGAATTACGTTTCAGTAGTATATGAAGACGGTAGCTATGGGTATGGAGCTTACAAGGTGTTTGATACACTCATGGACCAGAACAAAAAGTGCATCGCCGTAGCAAAAGTATTCAAGAAAAGGGTTCCAGATGAAGATGTTGATGAGATCATTAATGGACTGATATCCAAATCTAGAGCTCGGATTGTTATCCTTATAGTCACTACCCCCGATGTTAAAAGAATCTTTCAGTCCGTAACGAGGTTAAACCGTGAGGGCTATTTCACTTGGCTCGGTACAGATGGATGGAGTTTCAAGAGCTTAACTGGTTACGAAAAGTACATGCAAGGTTCATTACTGGTTGGATTTTACGGCACGTATGTTGAGCGATTTGATCAGTACATGAAGTACCTTACTCCCAAGAATTCGACTCATAATCCATGGTTCAAAGAATTCTTTGAAAAGAGACTAGGTTGTACATATGGTGAAAATTCAAGCTGTAATTTTGACGAAAATCTACTGGAAGGCTATCTTCCGAGTGTCTTAAGTGGTTTCGCAATGGATGCCGTGTACGCTTTTGCTCGAGGACTGCACAACATGATACAAAACTGTCGACAAACCGAGAAGAGGAAATGTGTCACAGGACATCATTTGCTACAGTATGTTAGAGACTTATCTTTCGAAGGCGAACACGGTTTGGTATCATTTGACAAAAATGGCGACGGTAGTGTAACGTATTCAGTCAAAACATTGCGGAAAGAAAATGCAGGCTACTCTCAGGAAACGATTGGATTGTGGGATACGTTTTCAAGATCTTTCATTAAATTAGAAGCAAGTAGAATTACTTGGAAGTCAGAAAATAATGAGTACGGAACACTCCCACCTATCTCGGAATGTAGTGAGTTCTGCAAACCGGGTTTCCAAGCGGTTAAAACCAAACCCCAGTGTTGTTGGTACTGTAAACCATGTCGAGTAAACGAACGCTCTCTAGAGATGAACAAGTCTATGACATGTGTTGTGTGTCCCAAGTTTTATTGGCCAGATGATACCAAGACTAGCTGTAAAGTCATCCCAGTAACTGATCTATCCTACAGCCAGATTCTGGGAACAGTTTTGACGCTTATTGTCACCATTTTATGTATCGTTATCATTGCCTTACTATCCCTGTCTGTGAAGAATAGAAAAACTATAGTACATCAAAACAGAATTTTAACATATTTCATTATAATAGCAAACCTGGTATCGTGTGGAAGTATAATTGCCTTTGTTGTTCCACCATCTTTGTTTTCTTGCTCTTTGATTCAATTTGCTTTCCCAATGAACTTTGCCATTAACTATTGTCCATTCCTGGTGAAGACCTATGGTATCTTTGAAATGATTAAGAACAACAATGGTCAGAGTGGACCAGAATCTGGTAGAGTTGTACCAATGTTTGTTTTGCTGTTATTGGTTCAGGTAACTATGTTTATTACGTTAACTAGAACGCATAACATTTTTACAAAGTCAAATTTGCGTCAACGCTATAGTTTTAGAAACTACACTTTTTAGACTGCCTAATTATTATGCTATAAGTCAAATAGACTTTGCTTAGGAATTTGATATCCTATCAGTTTGTTTTGGTGAAGAGTCTTATGACAAAAATATGCAATTTCTTTTACATATTTAGACTCTCCAAAAGTGAATCGGGTGTTCTAGAGGGGCAAGCCCCGGTTCGCTTCTGCACCCAGCACGTAACTTATTATAGTGCATATTAGATAATTCAGATTCAGTTTCATTTTCTGTTGGCTTGAACACCGGCGTGTGAAAGGGTAGCTGATATTTTGCTATATCAGATTATAAATATGCGGAAAACTAGATTGGACACCTTGCACTCCGTCTAGAAGCCAAATATAATAATGATGAACACATTTATCGATAAATTTCAGGTGATTATCGTAATCGTGACGTCATCAATTAATCCACCGTCCTATGAAACAACCATGCCTGATATTTATGAAGAATATGTTGAGTCAGCCTGTAAATTAGATGAAGTCGGATTCATGGCGTCTTTGTCTTATAACTTAATCCTTTTGTTTATCTGTATCTATTTTACTGTACGATCTAAGAATGTCGATGCAAGCTTAGTTCGAGATAGCAAGTTCAATAATATTCTGGTTTATCTAAGCACCGTGTTTTGGCTGGGTTTCGTTGTTTCTTATTTCACCACAACAAAATTGGTAATCCAATCTATCATATTATGTATCATGATGCTTGCTAATTCGGCTATGTTCGTTGGATTGTTGTTTATTCCTAGAATACTGGAAAGATATTTTCCACATGAAGGTTAAAGGGACAGACAGGCCATTTTTTCACCAATCATACTTTAGTCTCAGAAACGGGAAATTTAGCTAAGCCAGTCCATTATAGTGTTCAAAGCTCACCGTCGAAATTTAAGCCTGGAAAAAAATGCGATTGAATGTAAAAATGACGACTCGTCAAGTTAAGGCTTTGATATACTAAACATGACCAGACCAAAGGCGTTTCTATGAATCCTTGTCTTAGGAGGGGGTGGGAATAACAGAATTTTCAAGACGGACGGGGTTCACAGAAGTAAGCATGTAAGAACTAAATGATAATAAATTTGAGATTTGGAGCCAAAGCTATAGAAACACCACTGCACCTAGTCCAAGTATTTGATTAGAAACACCGGTCGAGTTAGCATTCCGAGATATATTAAGATACCGCATGTATATTTCTTCATTATTTTGATTTAAGTTTGTAATTGAAGGAGGCTTTTGCAATCTTGGGGTAAGATCAATATCCACTATCAAAGGTCACCTCTGAGGTTTTTGTCTATTTTTATTGTTTTATTGTTTCAAGTTCATGTGTACTATTGAAATTTAAGCGTAATAATCAAGAAGGAAAATGAAATTATTTGAATAATCAGAATTTGGGTGTATCCATTACTGTATTATGCTGTAATTTAAGATATAAAAAATGAGTCATAACTATTATTCTTTCCCACTTCCCTGTTACTTTGATATTATTAAAATACAATAGGGAACAAATGGTGATTGCTGTAAATAATAATACTATGTTTGGCAAAAGTGTCTTCATTAAAATTTAATTCCAAAATAGAAAGATGCCAGTTCTGCTTAATTATTACCATAATTTGAATGACCAAAAATAATTATTTTGAACGTCGTAACAAATAACTGAAACCGATAGAAAGATGTCAAACCATTTGCTCTTACCCTGACAAGTGGATAACTTTTCGGAACATTGACAAATGAAAAAACAGACATTCAATATATAAATTTAGCCAATTGAACAATTAAACCAAATAATTCTGTCCATGCAATGCATTTAAATATAAGAATAGATAGACCTCCAAATTCAGAATTGTGCTAGGACCATATATGAAACGAGGTTAACATTAATGTTAATTTAGAATAACTTCCTATGTAACACAATGACTATGAAATCTGTTATTCAATCATAACACACAAAATAAGGATACTTCCTTAAATAATTAAAATAAAGCCCATTATATCCTTATTGTTATTAGATCTAATTACAGGTGAAAGGGGTTAGTTTACTGGTTGTATCCCTTTACCTTTGTTATAATAAAAATTCTTTTAAAGAGGAGGTTCAGGCATGACGGCAATTGTTATAATCAGGACGGAAAGTTACAAGAGAGGATGCGTGGTCGCTGACCTGAACGATTGGGGGTTTATAAGATTATATTCAATCAAACATGCCTTTGTGTGAAAATGCTGGGAAAACTGGAACAATTTTTACCTTTGACATTCTTTTGCGAATATTCAATATCAAGCTTTACAAATGGTATTCAGTGCAAGATCATTGACTTCTCATATCATCAGATAAGAATGCCAATACGGATTATGTTCATAACACGCGAAGATATAGCCCTATATATAAATAGGAGACCATTCCATCTTCAATTCCCCAAACGACAGTTTTTAAAACAAATATGTAACAAGAACTACATGTACAAAATAAAGGAGGGACATCGACTTCAAGTCATGTAGAAATGTTGTCTGAAGATAACTCTGAGTAACAAAAAACTTTGATTAATTATAATAAATTATCATTAATAGAAATCTGAAATTCCTCTGTAGAAAGTCCATCAATTATCAAATAAAAACATATCTCGAATTAATATTTCTTTATCAGATGGGGAAGTTTTGCTAATGAATTAACCAAAGATAACAAAAGGTTGTGACATTTCTTCACATATTGAACTTTGAAATAAAATTGGAATAGAGCAAACTGTAGATTTCAAGCAATTTAGTAATTTCCCAGAATGATAAGGCTCTATAGAAGGAAACGCTGCGACCTGAAGCACAATGTTACATATAGCCGTTTCAGTGATTCTTGTTTCTATAGTTGCAAGCATGATCTACCGTCCAACTAGTCTATCGTCAATGGTATTTTCCCAACCAGGTGATTGGAATATTGGGGTGATTATTCCTGCTCATGAATTCTCCGAGAAAAGTATGTGTAGCAGAATTCCGCGACGTCTCACTAACCTTAAAAAAATTGAAGCTATTAAATTTGCAGTCGATGAGATTAACAAGAGAAAAGATATTCTACCGAACACAACGTTGGGATTTTATATATTAGACGACTGTTCTAAGGATACGACAGCCATGGTGAGGGCTCTACAGTTTACACAGTCGTCGAAATTGAACAAAGAACAACCTAATGAGCTTAGTAGCTACGATGTTATAGGTGTTATTGGGGCAGAGAGCAGTAGGAACACTGTTCAAATAGCCGATCTATTGTCATTGTTCAAGATTCCAGTAATCAGCTACGTATCAACCAGTCCTCTACTTAGTGATAAAGATACATATCCATTCTTCTCACGAATCGTACCCTCGGATTCCCTACAAGTATCAGTTTTAATGGACATCATCATTAAGTTCAATTGGAATTATGTTTCTATAGTATATGAGGACGGAAGTTATGGGAATGAGATTTACCAAGCCTTTAAGAAGTTGATGAACCAAAATAAAAAATGTCTTGCAGTTAGTCGAGTCGTGAGAGGTGAATTAACTCCAGACAAAGCAGAACGGATCGTAAAGGATTTGAAGTCAGCAGATGGAGCTCGAGCAGTTGTCCTAGTACTGATCACAAGTGATGCTGTGAAGATCTTTAAGACTGTCAAACGTTTGGGATGCAGTAACCATTTCACGTGGTTAGGAACAGATGGTTGGGGGAGTAATATCAATGACTACAAAGACGTTGAAGATGTAGCCCTAGGTTCTTTAACAATCGGATTCCATGGAGTATTTGTTGAAAGACTTGATAACCATATCAAACATTTAACTCCGGCCAATGCCACATATAATCCATGGTTTGACGCGTTCTTTGAAAGGAATTTTGACTGCAAATTTGGTCCAATTGGAAATGAAACAAAATGTGACAGATGGAAAAACCTTTCAGAAGGATATGCCCCAAGTTTTATGCCTGGTTTCGTTATGGATGCAGTGTATGCTTTTGCTTATAGTTTAGAAAAATCTTTGCAGAACTGTAAGGATGCAGATATCAAAGATTGTATTAAAGGAAGACGTTTTTTAAATGTTATAAGGAATACATCTTTTGAAGGAGACAATGGAATGGTGGGTTTTGACGAATTTGGAGATGGTAAATCTACCTATGCGATCAGAACCTTACGTGAAACAAATGGCGGATATCAACTTGCAGTAATTGGAGTATGGGACACAGGAAAAAGATTATTTACTTATTTTAATACTAAAAACATTACGTGGAAATCAGGATTTAGTAATGGCGATAATCCACCTAGATCTCAGTGTAGCAAGGATTGTCCCCCTGGGTTCGCAGCCATTCTCACCAAACCTCAATGTTGTTGGTACTGTCAGCGATGCCGTAACAATGAAAGATCGGTTATGATTGACCAGAAACTAGTATGCGAAGTTTGTCCTGTGTTCTCATGGCCAGATAATTCTAAAACAAGATGCGCACCCATTAAGATATCGAAGATCTCTTACAACAATGCAATAGGGATTTCAATCATGATTGTTGTTATTATAATGATCACCGGAACAATGACCTGTATCGTCCTGTACAGCAAAACAAATAACTTAAAATCCCGAAATAGAGAATTAGTCTTTTTAATCGCCAGTGGGATCCTTGCGTCGAATATAGTATCTGCGACTTTCCTGATCTCTCCGTCAGAGTCATCTTGTAACTTTATACTTTTTGGATTTCATTTGAGTTTTACTTTGGTATACAGCCCTTTCCTGTTGAAAGCATATAAAATACACCACGCCGACAAGAAAGTTCCAGTGCTAGGGGAAGAAACACCACCGACTCCAGTTCGTAATGTGGTATATTATTGTTTCGTTGTCTGTATTGAAGTGAGTAGATTTCAGAATTTTAGTGGGTTTTATGGGGAGAGGAGGGGGTGCTATATACGAATGACAAGATTTTACCTAGTGTTTTTTTTTATAAACTTAAAATACCATATGATTTGCTAATATAAAAGTTTTGGTAGCGCCAAACCGTAAAAGACAAAGAGAATAAGCTCATTAGGAACTGAAATCTTTAATACTTTAGATGCTTAATTATGAACATGTACAGCTATAGACTATTCACATGAGGTGTCCGTACACTTTAACAAGGTCGAAAGTAAACGAAACAATCAATCCATAATGCATTATGAATTCTAGCGTCATTATTGTCTGTTCCAGTTGGTCATAGTAATACTGTGTGCTGTAACATATCCTGTAAGATGGGAGACAACCATGACCGACTTGAACGAAGCCTATGTTGAATCTACGTGCCAAATAGAAGAAAATGGTATTTTGATCCCGGCTGCATACAATGTCTTTATTCTACTGATAGCAACACTTCTAATCATCCGATCAAGAAACGTTCGTCCGAGTATTTGTAGCGCCAATGAATGCAAATTTAACAACATCTGCGGCTATACTTCGGTAGTTTTATGGCTCGGATTCTCTGTGTCCTATTTTACAACATGGAAATCAGTAATACTCTCTGTAATCATCTGTATAGCGATGTTGGGTAATGCCTCTGTTTTTCTTTTTCTGGTAATCCTACCCAAGCTCCATGATGTATATTTCCCAACGATTGATCATAGTCGCCATGAAGACCGACAAACAACGGCTTTAACTTTCAAGTGAACGTATTTGTATTATTTTCCTTGTTTTGTTTTGAACTATCGTCTGTACACAATACTGTTGAGTCCGACTGAGTCCTGTTCGACGACAACAGGTTATTCTCGTGGTAAAAATAACCATCAGGAGTAGGCAAGTTGGTGGCCAATTCCATCTCATTACTGGACAAACAGGCAGCGTAGTGTTTTTGTTGTTGTCTCCCTTTTCAGATATTATTCCTTACATAGTGCATACGTCCTAAGTAAATAGATAGAAATATTATCCTCCATTCCTAAACCAGTTGTCTTTAAGGATTTCGCAATCAAAAGACGCTTTATGCCTACTTACGGCATGGTAAGTACTCAATTGGAATCAAAAGGTTCACAATTTTATATATAACTATATTATGATACTAAAATGTATTAAATGTCTTCTACTAAAATAACAAGTATAACATAAAATATATAAAAAAAATTATGTACAATTCAACTTATTTTGAACATTGTAAGGTGCTCTGGGGCTCCGTGTGTTAACATATTGCTTAATATTGGTTATAGAATAAAGAATACATTATGTTAAATACATAAATATACAATATACAAAAGTTTCGCATTCAGTGTGACAGGATAGAATATGAAATTGCAATATAGAAACGATTTCGAAATTAATAATGCTGCTAATAAACGCTCATATTTGACATTGCTCTTGGATAAAACTAAAAATCATTCACTGTTTAAGTAGTTCCTTACATCCCAATAATTACTTTAATATATCAAAAATCTAAATTTGAAATACAACATGTATAAATTCTAAGGTTTCGGATATTTTTGAAAGTGGAAACGGAACTGCACCAATTGTGCTACATCCTAGTCAAAGCAGTATATACCGTTATAATATTTTCATTAAATCTAGCGTTATTACTTTCCATGATGCTTTATACAAAAATTTACTAAAAGATAAAGCCTAGATGTTAAATGCTAATTTACAAATGATGAAAAAAATATTCATATGTCAGATCTAATAATCTAATAACCATTAAAAATTACAAAAATATTAACAATTTACTTTGCGTCATTGACATTAACATAAAATGTTTGTTAGGCTGCATATTTTACCCTTTCTAAAACAAAAAAAAGTCAAAAACCATTTACATCAGTAATTTATACGCTTTCGTTTTGATTTAAATAAATTTGAATAAAACTACAGAAACCCGTCACATTTAACTAGAAACCTCTCTCCATTGCCAAGACTCATGAGGACCATAAGTGCTAGGAGCAATAGATCTTTCTAATACCGGACGTTCATAAACATATGGACCAACATAACCTCCTCGTGGATATCCGTAATAACCTTTCTGACCATAGTAAGGTTCTTCAACAGCGTAAACTGGTTCTCCAACCACCATTGGATAATCACGTCCATAATGACCTCTCTTTTCCATTATTTCTCTAGAATCTTCATAGCGATCACTGGTAATGTAACAACCAGCTAAGGAGTAAAATGTGGCAGTGAAAGCAGCAAGTATCATACCAACCCAACCTAAAGCATAGGACCATCCGTATGTTCGGGTAGTGGCTTCTTTGATGGTCTGAAAAATGAATGATATGACAATATAAAAGGAATTTTCAATTGTAAAAATACATCATTATGGTGAATGGCAGTGCATTTAGGGGCGGAAGAGAAGAAAGGCCCATCGGTGGGTACCAGAATCTGATCTTGATAATCATCATTAATATTTTAGAAATGTTTTGGCGATAAAGATATTATTATTATTATTTATGCATAAGATACAGAACAGCCCATAATTCACAATACATTGCGTTACATATTTGTAACACTTAACACCAATGAAGATTGTCTTTGTCAAGAATGCTACTGCTACTCCCAGTGCGAAAACTGCTAATTCGTGGGCTACCAATATCAGGATAAGTTTACAAAATACTTACACTTGACCAACTCTTGTAGAACTCGTTTTTATTCTCTATTTTGTTTCTTTCAATATATTCGGCACCATGGAAAAAGGCAATGGCAGCTGCTGTACTGAATGCTGAAATAAAAGTAGCAATATTGTGTTATGTAATTTATTGGTTAACTTAAAAAGATGAAGTGAGAAGAATTTAGGAAGCTTAGAATTGTGACTTCATCCGTTTCATCCGTTTACAATCATGATCAACACCGTCTTTCAAAAGGATATACTGTTATCTAAACACAAGAACAGTTATCAACTTGCTTTGAATACGTAAAACAATATCAAAATAGTTGATCTGAAAACAACGCTACCTCCAGGTAACGGACTAGATAGTTTGCGATATCGACAATCATGATTGTCATTAAGCCAACTATAGCAAATAAGTAGACCATAAGAAAGGCTATTAATTACCTGCAATGTAGGCACATAAACCAGCGATATAGGCCCATCTAGATATTCTCCAACAACATAATACCAGACCAAATATATAGGCAGCGACGAAGAACACCAAGGCAATGATGTAGAATGCGAGGAAAGATCTCAATAAATCTGAAAAACATAATCGAAATTGCTATCAAACGAGCATAGTTCTGTTCTAAGCCTTATTTGGAGTTTCATTTCATATGCTCATGCGATTCCAAAATTTACTATGACTAACAGCCGACCAAACTATCTACACAACTTAAGTTAGCAAGTCATCGAGGTAGACCAGATTAACCTATCTTGACAAGCAACTTGATTTTGAAACTTATCGTGAAACTAAATTTATCTTGATAGAGAAGACCAGCTAATTCTGACACAGCAAGAGCTGCACTGAAAGATCTGTCATGTACAAGAACCTTCAATTCATCAAACCGCTTTAAAACTACATTAGTTTAAAAGAGAATTGATTAGGGAAGCAGTTTAAAGAGACTAAAACAATAGGACTACTTACGAAGTCGAGCTGTGAAGTCTGATGACGACTCTTCATTTTGTGGAAGTTCATATTTAATGTTAAAGCAATACCCATCTACTTTATCGTCGGCTTTGTCCAAAACTGAAATAGAAAGACATAGTCAATTAATACAAACAGTTTATCTTAATAATACGGCATACGGCAATGTAGCTGCCAAAATTAGTGATGATATTCCATTTATATCATTTTGTATAATGCAATGGTGTGCTAATAAGATTTTTATGAAGGGTATGTGCGTCATTTATGTACTATCTGATGTATTGATATCTGAACAGGGCAAGCTTGTAAGTCGCACCTACAAAACAATAATAATGTTCAATGTAACGCTATAATTACTCAGTAACTAGTTATTATGGACTGGTATTTGTAATCTATCATTTAAATCAAGTTCAAATACACCTTTATAGATATTAATCAATGTTCAATGACCAGGTATAGCGATACGACCACGCATTGTATCGGTCATGTTTGACCCACAATAGAACATTATTTTAAATACGCCATATCAGCTTTCATCACTGTCAACAATGACCTGCATAAACAATACAAACACTGATATTTATGACACCTGAAGAATTTACAAAATGGCGATCTTAAAATGGCGTCTTGCTGGGCTGCGTAAGATTCAGGTCAATGAATCCTGTACGGATTTTAAAGATTACATTATACCCACATGGTACAAAATTAACCTAAATCCTTCTTTCAACTCGATATTGCCCTGTTTGATACAACGACACTCTCGTTCAGTCCATTTAATCCCATTGGACAAGAAACTAGAGTCTCGTTTGCTAAAGGACGTGCGGAGTATGTTCAGATAAGATCGTATTTTGTAAGTCGATGGCCTTATTTGCTTGCACAATCAGGTTAGATAACTTTGGACGTAAAACCAAAATTTCTATTATCGTTGGAAATTTACTACAAAAAGACAGGGAAATCGATCAATGTTATCCGCTTAAATGATATTGATTATTGATGAGATACAATCATTCATAGCAAGTTACAATTCTCAATGAATCTGTAATGGTTCCATACTTCATTCAAATGAATCTCACCTAAATGAAATTACAATAGGAATACACAGTAATTACAATAACAAAAGCATGACATAATATTACATTCAAGGATAGAATTGGACAAATAATTAGGAGACTACGTTCATGCTTAAGATCAAGGTAAACTGTGCTGATGATTCGTTCAGTGTTAATGTTAACCAGAAGCTCTTTAAAAGAGTAATTCTCATAAATTGCCCCGTTTAAGCCAGATTTCGAAATTCAATTACATGTAATAAAAAAAACACGATTTGCTCCAATGCACAAGAATGTGAAGAGAGAGTAGTAGGTGAAATTTGAGATAAGACAATATAGAAGATGAACACCGTTGTAAAACTATAACAGGTAGAAAAAGGAGTAGCCATTGATTACACATGAATGAACATGATCACGTTTCACTGTGCGATTACTCATTTCACAAACGCTTTAACCCATTTCTGATTTGATGGGATTGTGGTGAGAATGAGAAAGAGCTGTTCCGGAAATGTATTTTAGAGTAATAATGCTCGATTACCTTGTGCAATAATTAATTTCAAACCGAGATGTAAGTGGTCCATAAGAAGATAATATTCCAAGCGCATCGTATTAGCTATGTGGACTTCCTTAGTGAAGTTGCAGTGTAGCATCAAGTGTTCGGAAAAAGCGAGCACGTCCTACATCGCTATTAACATTCGACATCCACGAAATAACGAGCATCTTTCGGTTATTGTCCCCTGGTTATTATTAATCCAAGGATTGACATAGTTGGTGGAGATGATTAACCGAGCTGATACGTTAGACGTGTAAAAAGGTTCAATTGTTTGTTTAATGTCCATCTGATCCTGTCATAAGATAGTCACACTCATCTACATAACAACAGTTAAATACCAATTCTTCTATTAAAGTTTCCTCTATCAAGTTTATAGCTTAAATTTCAACTTTCTTTCATCTGCAAGTATCTAGAACAATGGCAATGTTTCATTAAGGATGCGATAGGTAGGCATATAAAAGACGTAAAAAGTTCAGAAATCAAAGGTCACAGTAGCTGTGAACACCCATAAAATTATACATGGTAGTGATTTTCTATGGACTCTTAATTCAGTCAATGTCACACCCATATGATCTGTGAACCAAAACGCAAGGAAGCTGTGTCCGCTTTTACTTGAAGCCAACGCCTCTGATTTCAAAATAAGTTTCACATTGCACATAGCAAATATATTGTTTTAAGTTTCTTTTAATGAAATGATATAAATAGCCCTTGGTAGTTACATTGACTTCAAATAGTAATTTTTCATACATTGTCAATAGACAAGGGAAATGCGGAACTTCAAAAGATTTGATCATGGTATCTGATTTTTAACAATAGAGTCCCCACCCACATTCGTTTACTATATCAGTCAAAAATCCCACCAATAAAGGTCATATCAATATTATAAATTTTGAGTATGATAAATGTTTGGTGATAAACAATAACATTGCCTCCAGGTTATTATTATGATTGTTAACAGATAGAGTATATAATATATATCAACAATCGATTCATTCACAATACATCTATTACGTTTTAATACATAATCAAAGACTTTTATCATATTATTTATAATTGTCACATAGTCTGATATGAGGTGTAAAGGCAAATTGCCTGACCCAATTATTGTTTCCATCATGATGGTTGACAAGTTTGGCTAACAGAAATATTTTGGTTATAAGAAATATGATCAGAAAATGTCAACTATCCCAACCATCCAACTTGAATATCGTTTGAATTTAATGTTCTAATGTTCAGTCTTCGACATACTGACAAAACATACACATCAACAAAAGATTGATGTGAAAACATGTTCTCTATGCTCAAGTTGTTCTGAACTATGAAGACTTCGATAGAAAGCATTCACACAGACAAATTAAGTTTTTCTTCTTTTAAATAGAATTCATGCTTTATATAATTATACTACTACTTATGCTTCAACGTTAAACTTTTTATTGATAAAACCCCCTCCCTCACTCTCTCTCGCTCTCTCTGGTTTTGAAAATATCGTGACCCAGACATTTGAGACATAATTTAAGATTTGAGACATAAAATCATGATAAAAATCTACAATATTGGGAGTCAAAGATACGTACAATAGATCGTAGAGTTCATGACCAAACTATACAAATACATCTTCAATCCAATTATACCCCTTCAGCGCCATATTTATTTTCTTATTAGTATATCAATTGGCTATATTCTATTGAAACAAGAACTGTCACTGTGTTAGCCTTCAACAAACACCAAACACTTTAAACTACATTCAATCCTACTTCAGTATATTTCATCTTGAAGCGCTTTGGGCGTTTGATATCGTTATATTCAATCTAATTGTAAATTATAACGTCATGCATGGCAACTAAATTTCAGAACACATTTAAATACGAAATAAAAACATAGAAAGTTTTTACAGGGTGGTTTCTGGTGTCTTTTTTTAGTTTATGGCAATTATTTATCTCATTATCGCACAAAATTTGATTTATACTTATCATGTGCTAACATTTAATCAACAAAGTGCACATATTTTACAAAATAAATTTTACACACCCTCTTCTTATACATTAATGTATTTAACAATGTTAGTATTTGATCTGATTTAGATGTGGTTTATAATTCTATGTTTAGGCTTTGCCATGCATGTCTATAACGAACTAAATGTTTTGTAAATTTAGTTGAATTTTATTACAACCATGTTAGTGCTCAAAAACGCAAAACCTTGTGAATTGTGGTACATTGTACATGGAGTTTTTGCAACACAGATCATTGAATAGTGTTATTGGAAACATACATGTTTCGGCTTCCATCATGGAGGCTTGTGTATACCATTTTGCCTTCGAGGGGTATTTGATCTAGTTATGAACAAAATACATCAAAGCAACCTCTTCGAAAGCAGGTTTTGGTCATTAAAATCCCACTAGAATGGACTAACGAAAACCAAATATGTCAATTAAAACTATCAATAAAGCCTACTTTTTTGACACATTTAAACTGGCAACAAGTGACTTGAACATAGGCTTAATGCGGTCATGTTTTTATAGCTATTGTCACCTTCGGCGAGGAAATAAACAACGAAATTCCTATGTACATACTGAAAGAGTTAAGCATATTGACTATGTAATTTCAGTAAGACCAAAACAACAGTGTAAAAGTAAATAAGACTAAAACATGAATAGAAATAATGAAATACTTGAGAAATGTCCAGTGAAACTTGGTGTAAATATGTCTACAAGAACCCTTACAAGCCAGGTTGAAAGTGAAATCGTCAGACTAATACAGGTCAACGACAATTGAACGAAATACCATGGAGCATAATGTCATGTTTTCTAACTTCCTTTTGGGCTAAAGAAGACAGGAAACGCCATGCAATTTGCACTTGATGATTATTTAAGGGCAATGTCATTAATCTTTGCCATTTAGCTTCCAGACAGGAAATCTTTCCTGTGTGATGTCTGTAGCATACTGAGTTCATACCGAATTCAACAACAGGTTACCGACAAGCCATTGTTACCAAATTATAAATTCTCATTACACCCACGTTAGATCATTAGTGAAACAAAAGCTACATCAAGTAGTTTCAAACACCTTCTTGAATATCTCTACATCTTAAACTTTACAAAAGAAGCTAAATTTAGCTTAGAGATAACTTGACTTGATGAATAAAGTTCGTGGTAAACTTTTGACAGATTGTTAAATGGAAAAAAGGCTCAAAACTACCATAATATATTTTTTATAACTTGCGCATCTAAAATTAGATATAACAGTTTCTGGTAGCCATGACTCTTTTCGTTGGTCTTCCTATGAATTTGACATAGTTGCGTTGAAAATAGAATGTTTTGGCATCCCAACTTTCCATTCACAAAATATTCCCACTGATGATAAAACTATGAACTGAATTAGTCCCAAAAGATACGGAATACAGTAAAGAGTAAAATATGACTAAATTTGTTCGTTACTTAAATGATAATTTGCTATATTAGCATAAATTGAAACAGAAACAGCACTGTCATCCATCACGTTTGTACATCTTTATTATATAGATATATTAAAATGAGACACATGAATAATGTATGTTTTATGAATATTTTAGGGACTCGCATTAATATCTTCAATTATTTCTTGAAGAAAACACCGAATCGCAGGGTTCAGAGCAGTGACGGCGTCTGAAGGTACAGGGGGCATTCCAGTTGTTTCCCCATTGGGCCTGTCTGTCCCCTATTTGTACCCCCAATCCCGGGAGACTGGTGCCGCCACTGGTTCAAAGAATATTCGGTATTGAAGTCGGTTGCGACCATGGCGTTTTATCACAATGGGCATACATGTATATGTCCGCTGAAAAAAGTAGCATTAGTGTAAAATAGAGATACAAGAAAATCTACTTAACCACGAATGTTTATCATACATTAAGTGGCTTTAAAAATTAACATCAACCATGTACAAGTTAGATGTACATATGAAAGCTAAATGGTCATCCGAGGTTATTGTACTTATGATCACAATGAAACAATTTTTATGAAAATACATGTAACAACCAATCATCCACTTGGTACTTTTGAGACAACTTTGTGCCATGGATGAAACTGGTACTCAACGCCCCATATCTAACAAGAGAGAGTATATAAATGTCACCCTAAAAGCACATTCAGTTCAGTGCCTTGAACGATGTAATGTCTTGCAATGTCAACCAAGTTCAAGATGTTCAGATTTTAAAGTCTTGTAATTTTAGTGAGTTATACGCTTGCTCGCTAACCTGAAGGTCCAATGTTCAATCCCGGCATAGGTCGAGATAATACGTTCGAATTTTCAACCCGGTTTCCCTCTGTCACTGATGAGCAGCTGCCATGGAAAAGACGTCTATGGTCAATCGGATGGAAAAATAAACCGAGGTCCCATGTGTTACAGGCTGTGTACGTCAGAGTTCCCTCGATATTTGGAAATCGAGAGTAGGCTAATCCCGCTGTAGTGGCAAACTTTCCCTCATTGCACACTACATTGCCGTCTTCATTAGACCACTTAGGTGAAGATAGGTAAGACGTAAAACTCCATTCATTTCATTTGTTATTGATTTTCAGTATTCAAATTACTCAGTAATATTTAGTCCAAAATGTTAACATAAAATATATTTAGGTCACCTTATATTAAGATCTTAAATAAAATACATATTCTTACTATATATATTTATATAGTTAGACTACACCTCTGTATATACATTGACATAATGTAATATATAATAGAGGCTATTTCAACCCGAGTTATACCTTTCCTGGTTTATGATATACAACATAATATCCTGGTTATAGAGACACATTGACTTTTTACTTTATGGCTTCTTTCTGTCTTAAATCAAATCCTGTGGACCCTTATCACAAAATTAACGAAAGATTATTTAGTTTTCAGGGAAAGGAGGGTTTGATTCGCACGGTTCTATTACTCAGCTAATATATCTAATTTCAAATTCATTTACTACTACCTATTTTACTGTATTTCTTAAGAACGTATCTTTGTTGATTCTGTGTGAACAAGGATTGAAATTCTAACTGAGAAAAAACCTATTTCAAAAAAAGGTTTCAATCACCAATAAGGACATATTCCCAATCCCCTAAGTGGTATGAAATAGGTCAAGTGTATCGATTGCAATCTAAGGTTGTCATTTGACAGTTAAACCAGTGTTATCAAGCCCTACATATTTTAGGTTCCAAGCCTTTAAATTCTCTAGGCATTTAATTTAAAATATTGAGTTAGGTGTTCTGTTTCTGTAATTGTCCCAAAGTATGAAGTAACCTTAATCAAAGAAAACCATAAGATTGCTGGGATGACTGCAAAACTAAAATCCTCGGGGCTTGGGGTAACCTTGTCATTTCAACAAAAAAAAACGTTAAAACGTATGACAAGTCATTATTTATGAAAAAGATGTTAGTGACATTAGGATGTGTTTTAGTGTGATAAATATATTATTGTTAACTACATTTTATGCGTTGTATGATGACATAAATGGATGAATGAATTTGAAATTACGAAATATGAAGGGCGTTGGGTGTATTGATCATGGTCGTTTAAGGCGTTGGCATATTTTTTTGTTTAATAAAATTTAAATTAAGATATAATCTGATCGGATTAAGTGCGTCATTGGGATTTTTCAAATGGGTCTATTTTCATCAGCAGAATGCTCTTTATCTTTCAATAGATAATAAGGTGAAATGATGGATTCTTGCTCGCGTTTCGTCATTAGAAATCATTTAAATGACACTTTACCTATGTTATGGAACTACGATCAATAACATTCCAAAGGTTTTGATATGATTAATGCAATGCCAATAATTACTTCAAAGATAATATCAGTCAACGTATAATAGTTTGACACAATCATTTAAATATCCAGAAACGAAACACAACCGGGGTTGTCGGTTTACATAGGAATGTGGTATGGAAGGAATTTACCGTACGTTTAAAGATATTTGATATTTTCGGGTTTTATGCAGTGACTCAATACTCAAAGACATTATTGACAAGCAATAGGCTTTTATTTCCCAGTATATATTTGCCAATATAAATTTTTCTGAGTACTTTATTGGCGAGTCAATGGAAATTACTCTACTTAAAAGTGACTAACAGTAGGGTGGCCCAAAGGTAACTTCAATACAAGCCATTTATCAAAATTGAATTGAAGACACGGTCAAATGAACTTCATAAAAGAAGCCAAGTGTATGAAAAAACGATTAATTTTCTTGGTATTTTTTGTTTATACTCCTTTTACTCCATAAGTGGAACCCACATTTTGTATTAGAGACCTTTAAGGTGGAATGACCTTAAAAACAATTGTGTTCAAAGCCCATTTTAAATTAAAGGGGCTTCTTTGCGATGTAAAAATAGTTTAGAGGGAAACTTAGTTGGTTGACTTTTGCTTTTCTGTGTAGATAAGGAAAGTTTTGAGAGACAGACGTAGCATAAGCCAGACTTGATTGTTCAGAGAGAAGTAATATATCTGAATGGTGTTTAGTTGCAGTAATAGAATTGGTCGGTTGTTAGAATTTTTCAGTTGGGTGGGGGGTGGGTGTAGATACCGACCTGAGCATAGATGTAGAAGCTGAAAATGATCAGTGAAATCAATGACTGGCTATTTACTTTGAGTTCTCTCATGATATAACATACATGTAATTCATAATGGTTGGCAACGGATGTGGAGAAATATAAAAAAAAAACATTGGAAATCAACAGTATTAGTATTCGAATTTATATTATCCAAAGATTTCAAGGCAAAGGTACTCTTCATTAATTGGTAAGGTTTGTTATACCAAAAGAAGAAAAGCATTAAGGTTTCCAATGTAGGGCATTTAAATTCATAAATAAACAATTGTAATTGCAAGTGGTTGTTTTAAATATAATATGTATTCAATAGATTATACCTTAACTAAGGCAGGGTATAGTAATCTACTGTGGTTCGACCAACCCAAATACCCTAATATCACATACATACCAATAGGGATTATCTCTATATCGCCCTATCTGAGGCGTGGTCGGGTATGACACATGTCCAAAATTTATAACAAATATATATTTTATATGCCTTTATCATATAAACGTTTGACCCATTTTAAAATAACATATGTAAATACAGAATGAAGACCCTTATCTAATTTTTTATACACGTAATTTTTTCTAGTTGAGAATAATTTAATATATTGTTTTGGAAAGATATATAGAACCTTACTATTCTTTTCTTATGGTATAACGGGGGACTGGGTTATTAATATATTGAAAAATTGTACTTACATAAGGTGTCGTTTCCTGGATAACATTCTCGGAACAATCCTCTCTGTCTTGTATGGGTATATTTGGCTAAGGCTACATTACTTTGTGAATCTGATCTTTCTGCTGCTGATAGTTTATCTCTTTTGACTGTATACACCAACCAATTGTCTGTTCCAAAGGAAACGGCTAAGAAAACTAGAGTCACTGGTCCTAGAATCGTTGCCAGGACTATTAAACCCGTCGCACAAGAACCCATGATTGTCCACAAACTGTTCCAAAGATCACGAAAATTGAAGGGTCTTACTGAAAAACTGGTGAAGGTATTTCCCTTCTTGTCGTCTTGACGTTCACTATTGTAAAGGGATATGGGTATACGACAGCGCCTTAAGCGGTCTTTACGCTCTGTTACTCTGTCATTGTTCACAAAACCCTATTAAATACGTAGAGAGTTGGTTTATAAATAGACCCGTATAGACACGTACTTCCAGTGAACAATAATATAACGGTAAATAATATGGTATTGATTTTGTAGGTGTTATACACAATGTGTACACATTTTGATTGGAATTCAACAACAGTAAAGATTTAATCCTTACAATCAATTAATGCATACATTATAAGTATTGAACTGCAATCAACGTTTCACCTAAGCTAGGTGCGTTCTTAGGTTTTTCAGATTAGATACAAGCATTAGGTACTTTAATTATTTTGAATGCTTGTTATAGATAGTACCCATTACAAAATCCTTGACCAAATTAGGCTTAAAATAGATGATGACCAATTTTTGATCCACGAATGAACATGAAACTAAATCAACTTTTCATCCTGCCTTCTATTTCTGTTATTATCTTATTTTTTTAATAGCCCTGCGTCTTAATAATGTATTTGAAAAAGACATTCAATAATAAATTGCAACTGAATTTAAATCGTAGGTCTGAAAATATGCAGTTCCCCTCAACTAGTTGCACTATCAATGGTCTTGATCGTTTGTCTGATTTTAATGTAAAATTGCACAATTCTCTCAGGTGTACAAAGTAAGGCAATATATTATTAGCGCTAGGAAATCGAGTCTATCCGAGCAAAACCTGTTTTGAGGCTAAATTTATTTAAGATGGCTAACAAATATTATATTACTATACTGACATAAAGATTATTCATTTATAAAAGGTCGCGACAAGAAAATGTCCGTGTCGAATAACAAGGCTTTGTTTTGAAGAAAATAGCACTTATTGCGAAATTTTTCATTCGTAAATTGATTGAAAAATTCCAAACTGTCCAAGACATATAAGACTGGGCTTTCTAAAAATATTCTTTTGAAAAATATAGAGCTATGAAAAAACAAGAAAAACATAATGAAATATACAACTATCCAAAAAATAAGATAGAAATTTAGAACTTATCAAAACATTAGACGGAATTTTGTGCTGCCCAAATTACATTAGTTATGTGTTGTTTATTCACTTTACATGGGAAGAAGTCAAAACTTGAACCCAGGAAACTAGACTTATTTGTTGTAAATAAACATAGGGATGTTTCCACTGCATCGATCTCCGTTTTGTCAACCCCACCCCCATCGTACACTCAAACTGTGATTTCGAAAAAAGACACACAAGTCATGAATAATATATCTTTACTGACGGATAAGTTATTTACACGATGTGCAACTTAAAGGCTTCTTAAAAGTTTAACTCTTAAAACCTAATTAGCTTATGATTCATTTAGCCTTTTTCTTACAGCTATGTACGAGCGTATGATCTCAGCGTTACAGGAGAAATTTCTCCAGACTAGACTCTCTAGGTCAGGCCATACAAAAACCCAATGATTTCCATAGCGTAAACCTATGAAACCAGTAACTGAAATCCCAATATAATAGTATTTTGTCTTCAAGACCAATGGGGTATTCTCCCCTGATATGAGTTTCTGTTGTTCATATTGTAGGATTTTCAAGTCTTACTACATTATGTATATTAACACATTTTCTGTTTCCAATTGGTGAATTAAACCGGGCGATGTCATGCCATGGGCAGTGTTGTCGAAACAGTTACATTAGGCTCGCTCACCTCATCACAAGAGAAACCCACAAAGGTATCCTATTATGCTAGGATCGAACCCATTCCTTCATTAATACAAATGTAATATCTATGTTTCAATACAAGGATATATTTTCTAATCCATGCAATCTATAGACAATCTAAAGAATTTAGACAGAGCAAGTTGCTTGGGATGATCAACTACTAGGCTTTTTCACAATCGCCATAATTAATGAACAATTAGTTTTAATACACGTTAATCCTCTTTAGTACTTAGTAAATTGTAATATTTTACTTCAGTAATTAGCTTCCAATTCATGTCACTTGCTGAAAAAGTCAATTATGTAGCTTATACTATTGATGTCTTGTCCTAATGATGTTGATTTTTTGCAACGTACTTCAAAATGGAAATTTGATTGCCATTCAGACAGAAGAGACAGGAAATCTTTTACTGATTTTTCATTAACATTAGTGATAGATCAGTAAGCTAGCAAGAGACATGATTGACATCTTTCAAAATGTGTCTTTGTTTTAATTTTTTGAAAGATTTGTTTTTTTTTTTTTGCTGGAAATATTAGATATATTCATTTAATGGTTTTTGAGAACCATTGAAATTCATCAAAAAGAAGGAATACAAATACTAATACCACACAACAGAAAAATTGCCTCCATTTGACCACATACAAGATAATGACACCAAACATTACTAAAAAAATTGTAAATCAAATTAAATGAGGAAAAATCGATTCAAAAAAAATCCTGATAACTGCAAAATTCTATACAATATTTGACTTTCGAGAAAAACCATTCACAACTTTAGAATATGGAGAGCACAGACAACAGACAACACAAGTTTGAAATTATCTCCCTTTAGCCACTTTCAATCAATGGTTGTCGGAACAATTTATTCTATGCTTATCCTAGAGATAAGAAATGCTCACTAGGATTTAGATGCAATTCAAAAGACTAAAAGAATAAACTACAACAAAATATTTCTCCGTTTGGTGTATAAGTGAGCCTTATTACAGTGGTAATAAAGACAAACTTTTCGTGATAGTTGACTTGTATTATTAGACCAAAAATAATTTTTGAATTAGAGAAACAATTGAACAATGCTAATCATTACCGTGTACTTGATCAACCTATTTTCATGGAAACTGCGCAAAAGATAAACAATATTTTAAAAACTTTAGTAAACAAACAATTTATTTCTGATTCCCAATATGACTATCTTTCAGCGAAACCCGAAGTCCGTCAACGTCACATTTATACTTTACCGAAGATTCACAAAAACCCGGAAACTGAATGGTCATTAGCCAATAGGATTCCTAAAGGCAGGCCTATTATCTCAGATTGTGCGAGCGAATCCTACCGTGTTTCTGAATACATTGACCATTTTTTACTTCCATTAGCGTGTAAGCATCCGTCATATCTTAAGGATACCACCGATTTTGTTGAAAAAATTAAAAGCTTGAATGTTCCTCCAAACGCAAGATTTATCTCATTAGATGTTACGAGTAAGTATACCAATATTGATAATAAAACCGGTTTAGACGCTGTCCGAAAGGCCTTTCTTCGAAATCCCTGCGTAGATAGACCCGACGAAGAAATATTAGAACTTTTGGAATTATGTCTAACGCGAAATGACTTTGCCTTTAATGAAAAAATTTATCTCCAGACTTCAGGCACCGCGATGGGCAAAAGATTTGCGCCGAGTTATGCAAATATCTTTATGGCTGAGTGGGAACTGGAAATTTCTTCCATTTCCCCTATTGAACCTTTCTTCTATGGAAGGTTTCTTGACGATATTTTTATTATTTGGACCGAGTCTTTAACAAATTTTTGGCAATATTTTGAAATTTTAAATAATCACCACCCTTCTGTAAAACTAACTGCGAATATTTGTGAACAAAGTATGGATTTTTTGGATACTACGGTATTCAAAGGACCAAGTTTCTCTCAAACAAATTAGACATCAAAGTATTTTTTAAACCAACGGATACTCACCAACTTTTATATAAAAACTCTTTTCACCCAAAACATACTTTTACGGGAATAATCAAATCACAAATTTTGCGTTTTTTTTAGAATTTGCACTCAAAAAGTAGATTTTGATGCAGCTTGTAGACTAGTTTTCAGTAAATTAAGAGAGAGGGGCTATTCCAAACGATTCTTGCGCAAAATTAAAAATGACACTGTTTTGGACCTTTTGAAAATTAATGACCCCCTCCTCCAATAAATACTTTGGCGCA